ATCTATTTCAAACGAACAGATAGAATGTGGCAAAATGGCTGAATATCTGTCAATATATTATTAGGTTAGCCACGAGGAGAAAAATATCATCGTTGGTAAGATTTGTGTATGCATCAGTTATCCGACATCAGCTAGTTAAATGATTGAGATTCGAATTTTTTTGTTCAGAAAATCATCGTTAGCAGCTGAATCTCCTAGCTATAACCAGTTGTATTCCATCAAATACTTTCGTTTTTCTATCAATTCTTGTCAAATTTGTCATATTTTTAATCGCTTCAATATTGTCTTTATATCTTATCCAAGATAAATATTTGAATATTTATTCTTTATCAAGTATTCAAAACTTTATTACGATATAGTCAGAAATTTTACAACGCCTTTTTGCGGATAGAGTTTGATTAGCTTCGACAGCTAATACACGAGAATTATAAAATGAAGTGAAGGATTAATGGCTACTTTTAAACGATCTCTATAGGCTCACGTGCCATGAATCCTCTACCGAGTAATTCTAAACGAGAAAAGATAAATTTGTTTTCAGTTAGTTGATAAAATTACACGAGAAATACAATCTTTGTTGTATCAAAGATAACGTAGAGTGAAGAAAAAGAAGAAAATAAACGAGCAGTTCTCATTTATTCATGTACATCGGACAGCGAAAGATGAATTTTGTCAGGTGGAATCAAAATCTGTGTTTGTTCGAGTCATCTTTCTGAATATGATTTTTCATCGATGAACAGAAAGAAAAACTGTGTTCTTCTATTTTAGATTGCATTTTGTTGCATAATTGTTTTCTTCTTCTTCTAGCATTTGCTTTTATTTGAGTATGCACAATAGTCATTTAAATCATGTTTGATTCGTTGAAAGTGAGCGGATATGTCATTATAAATCTCTTCCTATCGAACTTGGTTGTTTCATTTGTAGGACCATGGCTTTATTAGTGTTAGCGAAAAAGCCGACCGTGAAACATTGAATACCATTGAAGATGCGTATTATAACGAGGATAATTTTGATCCGAAAGAATATGAACTTCAAGTACGGATATGTTCGTGTTCTTGTTGATGTTCAATATGTTTCTTTTCAGAAATTACTGTCGACAATTAAAGAAAATCCATTTCTTGACCTTGCCGATGTCTTAAATCGACGTGATCGTTTGAAAACTCAATTGCTCGCTGTTCGTAGAATTCTTTCGTCGCATTCGCATTTCACACTTTCCCTTATTGACATTAACAGGTATCGAAGCGTGTATCGAAATTAGTTCTTGAAAATAGTTCAGCGTATACCACTGAGCTACAGCGTGTAACTGTCTTAACAAGTGCATTGCAAGATTCCATTGAAACATGTTACCATGCTCGAAGGTAGTTAGAGTGGTACGGTGAAAGCAGAGATTGATCTTGTTTTATTAGGAATCTTCGTCGAGCGCAATATCAGATCACAACACGGAATTTAACATTAATTCGAAATGAAATGCGCAAACAACAATGGATTCATGTTCTAAAAAATATCGAAAAATTAAAAAAACTGGTTTGTATTTCCCTTGTTTTCATGAACACACATCAAGTGGTGATCTTTTTTTTAGCATAGCATCGATCAGCGACTGAAAGAAATGGTTAAAGTAAGTTCTGTCTAGATTAATTAAAAGACAATTTCCGAGCTTCTCTTACTCAGCATGAAAATTTCGTTGGCGCCATTCAATTGTACTCCCAGTGCGGAAATATTGTCCACCATTACAAAGAATATCAGTGTATCAGGTAACCGAATCTCCTCTTACCGAAAGAATAATTCACATTGTTTCTTTGCAGAGATCTTTCGTCGAAACTGCAAGATACGCTGGATTTCATTGAAGAGTCTATCGATGTCACTTTAGCTAAACTTTGCACCCATTTTAATCCACACACTTATCAAAGTTTATTGAATGCATATCGATTATTAGGAAAATCATCGGGATCGATGGAACAACTGCAAATGCATTTTCTCAATGCTGTCCAAACACGCACATTAGAGATTTTAGTTAAAACAGTAGGAACGGGCAAAAACGAACAAAATATCTCATCCTATACGGATCTATGCAAGGTAAAGAATGATGGTAATCGAGTGAAAGATATTCTTACGACTTGATTGCTTCTAGATGGTTCCACAAGAGTCGTTTTCAAGTTGTTTACAGGATCTGAATGTGTGCTTTTGGCAAATAATTAAAGCGTATAAACTAGTTTGGCTCTGGCATGAGAAAAATCCTCCATCGACCGAAAATAGTGGTAACTTTCTTGTTTCTCTTGTGAAATAAGTCTCGTCTTCGCCTGAATCCTATTTAGAAACAAATAGTGATACATCTGAACCAAGTCAAGATTTTCTTCTCCAAAAACTCGAAAGTGGCTCTGGTCGTTTATGGCACGAGATTCAACAGAAAATGAAAACATATCTTCTCGAAAGCAATATGACACACTTTGAATTCGAAGCGTTTTTACAAGTGTTGAAAGTGACGAATCGGTAAGGTGGATTACTTACTCCTGAACGACTCAAACATAATTTTTCTAGATTGATGGAAATCGGTGAACAATTTTGTCAAAGCGATTCGAATATCCTTCAGGAAGCCGTGCGTCGACAGAGTGTTGTCTACTTTCGCTCATATCATAACAGACGCTTGGATGAATTGAAAATGTTTTTGGAAAATGAAATGTGGCAGCAATGCCCAGTGAAATCAACATTTCACATTACTCAATTTCAGGTGTGAGACAATTGCATGTGATTCGAAATGATCAAATGAATGTTTAGGAATTTCGATTTCTTCGTGAAACGTCGTCGGTGGCATCTGAGTTAACGACGTCCACGTCATTCAATCGGAAGACAGATTTAGATTTATTTGATCGATACTTATACACAGATCGTGAACATCCATTTGATCTTGATCAAATTCGAACAACATTATCATCTTCACCATCGGAATACAGTGCAAATTCTGCCGATGATGACAATGAACGAAATATGACCAATGGAAATTCCTATAATGTTCGTTCAAACGTGCTCCTCTCTGCAGACAAGGACGAATATTTGTTGATGTTTTAGGAGGGAAGGATTCGCACGCATTCGAATTCATCATCGGGTTCTAATAGTGACCATGAACACGGAGGACGTTTAACACATCGAACACGATCGCAATATCACGACGAAAAGAATGGATCAACTATTGTAACAAATACAACTCTCAATGTGACTAGATTATTCGGTAAGGCAAACGCCTGTTTTCTTACTATTTATTCATTTTTTTCCCAACCGAAGGTCGATACATGGAAATGATTGAAATGCTGAAACCAATTGCCTTTGATGTCGTCCTTTGTATGACACAGCTGTTTGATTATTATCTGTATACAGTTTATTCACTATTTGCTTGTGATATGGTAACTGACTTTCTTTCTTCGATAACAACGAATCAATCCGATCGATTTTGTTTTTAGAACGAGGTTCCAATCGATGCATTAAGCAGTGGATTACAATTTACAATAAAGCGAATTAGTGATAATTTAATTGCGCACGTAAGCAATTGTTGTCTACCAAGAGAAAGATTCATTGTTGTTTTATTTTCATAGAATGATTCTGAAGCTGCATCGAATGTACGTATAGCTTTTTTCCACACAAAGCGCAGATAAATCATTTTAAAGTTTTAGTAAACTATTCGTGAGTTGATTTCTTCATTGTATGAACTAATAGCTTGATTGAGACATCAAACTACGCATAAAAATATTTTAATTCCATTTTCTTTTATGAATTACTAGGAAAAGATTCTCGCCGCTCATCTATCTCCGTTAGTCGACATTAACCGTTCATCAAGTATACTTTATGGTTTTCCACAACGCGTTGTCGCTGCTGAATCATTAGTATTTCTCGCCGAACAGTTCGATTTTCTTCTTCCATATTTGAAACTAATGATCCCACTTGAGCGGCACACATTTCTCACCCAATTCTATTCTCAAACTGTTCAAGTCACACACGAATTACGTATTCCTATTTATCATAACGTTTCCGCGAATATTCTCGATTACATGTCCATTGCATTGATGATCAGTAAAGTCAATTGGAATATCAAAGATATTCTAACTCAGCATAATGTTTATGTTGATGAACTGGCAAGTCAATTACAAACATTTCGGAATCGTCTCGATCATATCAATGATCACGTTTTACCGATACCGAAAGCTGTTTACCGAACATTATGGGATCAGATTTTAGAGAAAGTTTTCTACACTATGGTTGAAGGGTAAGATTGTAATTAAAGCGAAATCACGTTGGCATAAGTGACGATGTTTTAGTTATGCGAATGTAAAACAATGTAGTAACGAAGGTCGAGCGTTGATGCAATTAGATTTTCAACAATTACTTCGACGATTGGAACGCATCATTGAAGATATGAAGTACGAACTTTTATGATAAATGGATCCTAGTGTGAATAAGCATTCTTTTTTCAGACCGCTGCCACATAAAGAATTCGTTGAAAATTATATCAAAGCGTATTATTTACCTGAACATTTAATAGATCAATGGATTATTGAGAATACGGTATGGAAATCTAGAATGGTATCTTTTCCACATCTACGGCCGTTTGCTTTCTTCTAGATGTATACGACAAAGCAACGAATGGCATTAGTAACAATGATGTCTCATTTAAGTCGAAGAAAACGTGCACAATTAAGTCAATATCTCGATGAGCAAGATCGGGCTCGTACTCCCGTGTCGACATCTTAATAGATCGAATACTCATTCCATTAGTTTTTCATCAATGTGCAATATGCTTTTCCTTCATTCCAAACATTCGTTTTCTTTGCACTTTCTATATGTATGTGTGTGAGTGTTTTGTAAATAGAAGTATCTTATCTTTTATGTCACCTAGTCACTGATGAACATCGTTTATTCAACTTATTTAGACAAAATTGTTCTTTTCTCGAATAAATCTGTTCCTATTTGTTTGTTTGATTTTCTAGTAAAATAACCGATGAAAATTTTCTTCACAGATGGCTGCGATTTTGAAAAGTTATAATAAATTTGTTTTGCGCTATCCGCTCATAGCAATGAGTTTAACGACAGGTAGACGAAGTTTTAGCATGAAATAATGTCCTGGATTGTTAATCTGTTGATTAGGAACAACGATGGGATTGGGAAATGTGATTTCGCAAACGGCTATAGAGAAACGAACTTTGAAAACTGTCGATTGGGCTCGTGTATCTCGTTTTGCTGCTTTTGGTTACCTATTCTCAGTTTGTGAACTAAAATTTCTATGCAAACTTGTTTTGTATATTTAATTTGCTTAGGGGCCTTTTCTTCGATATTGGTATTATGGATTAGATAAATATTTCGCTGGTGCCAAATTGAAACCGGTGAAAATGATGATCACTGATCAGGTTTTATTGAATTTTTTCTGAAAGAAATGAAAAATCGATTCATTAATTATAGATCATTGCTGCACCATTGCTGAATAGTGTAGTTCTTCTTTATCTTCCATTGTCAAGTGGAAAATCGATGACCGAAGCCAAAAAACGTTTTCGTGAAGTAAATTTCTCGCTCTTTATTTCGAGTATATCTTGTAATATTATTGCAGGACTTTCCAACCGTGATGAAAGCAAATTACTCAGCATGGCCAGTGATCCAATTAACGAACTTCTATTTCATCCCGATACAACATCGGTAAACCGAAAGAATTATCCAATAGCTGTATCTATCTAGAACTTTTGTTTTAGGGTATTATTTGTGAATATCTGTTCATTAGTTTGGTCAACATTTCTAGCGTTTGTAACGAAATGATTTTGTATTTTTTTCTGAATAAAAATATTCAATCAAGCAGAAACATGTCGATGTCGTTCAGTCAGAGAAGAAATTCTATGAAAGGTCATAAGTCCAACGAGATACGGGCGTGAACTGCTGATCAGCATACATTGTTCGATATAATTTATCTCTTTCTTTCGTTCTACTCGACTGTGATCGAAGCAAGAACAGTAGAGAAGAGAAGAAGCAAAACATTTCGATAGAGAATGACTGTTATAGACACATAAGTTGCCAAACAAACACACTTGAATATTTATCTTCTGTGTACAGAATTTTTTCCCTATCATTTCGAAGTTGTTCAATATCAGACAAAGTCATCATGTTTACTGTGCAAGTCTTCATGGCCTTCTCCACATTGTTTGGAGATATTTATGCCAAACTGAAATTAACTTTACGAATCCTTGTCTCGAGTAAAGAGTGACTTCGATTCAAACAGACAGGTTTTATTGATGTAAACATCTTTCTTCTAGTGTTTGCTTCAACATTGAGAAAATATAATAACTTTGTTCTACACTATCCATTACTGTCGATGGCATTGACAACAGGTTAGTATGGTTTTCTTCCTTGAAATATGAATGTCGATGGTGATTTGTTTAGGAACAACCATGGGTTTGGGTAGTATTATATCTCAAACAATTATTGAACAAAGAGGACTATTGGATTTGGACTGGATTCGCATTTTTCGCTTTGCAGCATTTGGTTACGTGTTTTCAGTTAGTGGATGTTCTTCGTGATTTGTTGATCTATCTGCTTTTTTTTATCTATTAGGGTCCATTTGTTCGTTATTGGTATTATGCTTTGGAAAAAGTCTTTTCAAATACAAGATTAAAACCAATCAAAATGATGTTCGCTGATCAAGTATGAATATGTTTTCGATGAAAATTCGTGTCAAACGATTCCTTCTTTTTAGACTATCGCTGCACCTTTACTTAATGCAGCAATGATCGCCTATCTTCCTTTAGTCAGCGGGAAATCGTTTGACGAAGTCAAACTCCGATTTCTTCTAGTAAGCAGAAACATTTTTCGCTCAGAGATTCTATTGGTACTATTTTATAGGATTTCCCAACCGTAATGAAAGCTAATTATGCCGTCTGGCCTTTGATTCAGTTGACAAATTTTTATTTCATTCCTGTTCATCATCGGTATGTTTTCGTTGATATCATTCCTAACTAAATCGTATGTTTTAGTGTACTTTATGCAAATATTTGTGCAATTATTTGGTCCACCTTCGTTGCCTTTGTTACAAAATAGATCTCAATGAATGTCTTTTTTTCCTCTTTTCTATCACTTTTTAATGTTCATTTTGTCTGAATGAGATTGATCACAAAAATATAGTAATCACAAGAATGAAAGAAGAAAAATCTTTGCATGTTCACACGTTTACATTATACAAACACATGGAACTGTAATGAAGAGAATTGATTATCGTCAATTAGCTATGAACGTTCTTTTTTCGCTGTTTTCTCCGGTTTCCAACCACGAGGCATATCATCATCACCGAAATTATCTTCATCGATATCCGCATCCGACTTTTTACCTAAGATAAGAGCGCGTAGCTTTTGACTACTGGACGAATCCGAATCGTATTCATCTTCGTCGTCGTTGTCTTCATCAACTGCCGATGTTGTCGTCGTTGTTGCTGCTGCTGTGGTAATCGCCGAAGGCGAAGTAGTGCGTTGCTGTTTTGTCGGTCGAGTTTGAAGATTATTTTCATCGTCACTATCATCATCATCGTCGTCGTCGTCATCGTCACCACAGAAATCGTTCACCTCTTTTTCCATATCGGACAATTCATCGACACTCATGCTAAAGTTATAATCCCTCGTTGTCACTTGTTCTTCTTCATCGATCACATCACTGGGCAGATCAGATGTTGACGGGAGTTCCGGAGTGCGAGGCCGTTTCAACGATGACCGAGATGGTTTACTCGTAGTTGAACTTGATGCTCGTTCATCTCCGGAAGTAGTCTCAGACTGGAAAATATTGAAATCAAGTTTATGTGGAAATCGAACATGACGTTACCTTTTGCTTAGTGGAAACTGGTCGATCATTTGTTGCATTGAACTCATTGTATGCTATGAAATAAACTTGTTTATCCTTTGATTTGTTCGATTTTCAATGTTTACCTATTCTTGGTGTATCTCTTGAAAATAACCGTGATTTTCTGACGTCATAATTCGAATGTAGTACGAAATTTTCTTCCGGTTTTCTTTCCCACTGTTCATAACAGTCAATGAGCCATTCCGGCGTCACAACATGGATATTATATTTAACTGCTCGTTCAACTTTCGTCGTTCGTTTACCGGCAACCACATGCGTGGTTATACATCTGCCATTATCATCGATTTGTAGATCTGGCGTCACAGTTGCACCTAGTGCGCGTGCGAGAATTGTAGCACGATGCTTTTCCAATGGGTAACCTTGAGGCATCAAATGTGAAAAGCAGACGGATACATCTTTGAGTACTTGTCTACGAATATCAGGAAGAATTTGTTTCACATCAGGCATAGCACGTGTCTTATCTTGTGTCCATTGATCATAGGCACTATAGAATCTGCTATGAATATTCTTGAGAATAGTTTCTAATTGACGGAGATAATTGTCAGTGTCAACGACAACAGTGAGATCAGCGGTTGCTGACGACGTTGTAGAACTCGTTTGGCTAAACTCAGCATCCAGTAATTTGAAGTATTGGAAGTAATATACAGAAAACTTACTCATTCGGGTAATTGTCATCTTGGTCTTTTAATTTCTTAGTTGATTCATCATTTTCCACGTTCTTACTTGTTCCATTATGCGTATCATCATCATTATCGAATTTCCTTTTCTCGCCTCGATGCAATGCATGTTGTTGACCTTCTTCAGTAGTTCGTTCAATCAATGCAATACTCGTCATTTCCATACGTTCTTCTGCAAGCTGTTCACTATGTTCTAATTGTTCTTCAAATTCCTTCTCACTAATCGGTGGAATTAACTGCTCATTTGGAATTGGCGGTGATGGTAAATGGCCATCATTGATATCACCAACATCTTTGAACCAAACATACGGTTTCACATGAACAAGATTCTTTGCATAATTCCAAACATCTTCTCGATCATCAATAATACAAACCATCGAATCACCACAGGGAAATAAAGCGCTAGAATTGCAAATGATAGAATTATCATCGAGAAGTCAAAGTCAATACCTTAAATTTTCGGTTTTTCGTGTTGGATCAAAGCATTCATTTCGAGACAGGATTCTATGATAGAAAAAGGTTTTATTTGGATCAATCAGATTAGCCATTGTATGTGCGTAGACACGTTCACCAAAAGTAACGATATGAAATTGATAATATGGTAGAAGATTTGTCAGAAATTCTTTCACACCGGGACGCAATTTTGTGTAATATCTTTGCGAAGATTGGGTACTCAATTGATATCCAACAACGTCCTAAGTAATAATCGAGAGATTCGAGGAAAACAATGTCAAAGATTGAAATTTACAGGTGAATATGGATAATAATTGCTTGAATTCGTTGTATGAAGTAGCGTCTGATCCAAATCAACAAGTAATTCAAGTTTACGTTCACGAAGAAGACGATCACGTTCTTCAATACTGTATTTTTCAGCCATCTAAACAAGCATCGAATAGGAAAAGTCTTCACATTAGAAACAAAAAAGAATTTAACCTCTGGTGTTATTCGTAATTCTGGCACAGTATGTTCCATGGACACTGTTGTTGCTGCTCTCATTGCATTTGGTTGTGCTAGTGACACGTCAATCAATGGCTCTGCGTCTAAATTTCGCGATGAAATCATTTCCATCTTGTCTTTCAACCTGTTAAAAACGATAAATTCGATGAACTTATTCCTATAGAAAAGAATCTTTTACTGATTCAAATCTGCACCACAATCACAGCAGAGATTTTTGAATGTAATCGAATGTAGACATTCTTCATATTCCAAAATAATCGAACTAAATTCGCCAACGAAACTATACAAAACACGTGCTAACATTCACAAAACTTTACCCATAGGTAAGAACGTCAAATTCATGTATATAGACTTTTGTTACTGTTCCCAAAACTGATGACAAGAACGGCTCTTTCGTACTCTCTACACAAAGAAAAATACGAATGTTTCAATGGACTAGTTCTCCTCGTTCAATATGTGCTTTCACCATACCCGGATGGTCTGTATCAATCATTGTAAATATGGTTTCATTCGTTGTTAATTGATGGTTTTCTCGAACGAATACTTTCGTTACTTGAACCGATTTTTGAAAATGAAACTTAATTTCCTTTATGTTGCTCTTCTTTCCCACATTGTTACCACCATTTTTGCTCATGATTCTAGAGAAATGCGGCAAATCGATTTGAACAAACGATATCTGGAATAGTAAAACTGATGTAAAGCACCATGAAATGTTTGTTTTTTATTAATTATTATTAAAGCATATGCATATCAAGCAAAGAAAAGGAAAAAAAACAAAGAAGAGAAATATCAAGGCGAAAGAAATGAACTGAATAGTTAGGCAACAATGGTTTTTTTTGTGATTAACAAAGTCAAATCTGCAATCAGAACGAGTACATCATTCATTAAAAAACACACACAAATAAATAATGTTGTTCTTCATTTAAAAGATATCGAAATGTTTTGATTCAATTTCTTTTGTGTCTAATTGCGTATGTGCTTGTTTAAGGAAGACAATGGTTTATAAAAAAAAACAACCAAAAATGATTAAATAGTAAAAAAAAGAATGGGAAGCAAGGTGACTAGAGAACAGAAAAAAGAAACTGGGAATTATCTGCTGGATGTGTCGACTACTTTAAAAAAAAATAAAGAACTAATTTGATTCTCTGGCGATAGTAGAAAAGAAGAAAAGCTAGACGAAAATGTTTGATACATGAGGTTTTTTTGGTGCTTGTTTTGCTTGTGGCTGCTGCTTTTGTTGTTGAGCAATAGAGTAAGCATTTTGTTTTTCAAGTTCACGAGGTGGATTCTTGTGTTTCGACCAAGCGTGGAAGCATTTACGAAATTCAATAGGCTCAGAATTCTTCACAGTTAAACGTAATTTACGTGGACGATCAGGTTCACGTGTGCGTAAATGTTGAATATAAAGCTAAAAAGTTGTTATCTCAATGTTTGTTTAAGGTAGTGGAGAATCTAAACTTACTTCGGCACTTTTGGCTGCAAATTTAACTTCAATGATGCTTGCAGTTGGTCCTTTCCATAGGAAAACATACGTTCCAGTATCAAGTAACATGCAATCATCATCAAGTAAATCATCCTAAACAAAAATCAAAGGTTCTGATTCTTTCGGACAAGGTCAATTTACTTGACAAAAGTCGGCATATTTTTCTGTAACAACGAAAAATCCATTTTCATTCGAACATTTGAATAAACGCATGTAACGCATATAATCTGCAGACTAAAGTTGTACAGTACAGATACAAGAATGGGTCGAAAATCATTACAACTTACTGTATCATATGGTAAACGATCACCTAGGCCAACCCAGAAGAAGTTTTCTGGTTCATTCCCCTCATTGATCACTTGAATTGTATACGAATCCTAATTTAATAGACGACATTATCCAAGAATGGGCATTCATTCAATCAACTTACATTATACATTTCATTAGCAATTTCTTGTGCTAATAGTGCATCATCAGGATGAACAGAATTGCCTATCCACACATAAACAATTCCAATGATATCTCCTGAATCCAGTGGAACAGTAACGATGTAACTAAACATCGAATTACAAAATCTTTCTTCGCACAAACATGAAAAATTACCAAAATTCCGAACAAAGATTAGCGGATGTTGCTTCAACTTGAATACAACGTGTCATGATTGTCGAATAGCACCAACGTATGTGATACATTTGTGTTTGAGTCAGTCGTTGTATCGGTATCTGTGCACGCTGTGCTGCAGTACGACGTTTACCATTATGTATAATAAGTTTTCGATTGAAATGTGCCATGAATCTTTGATTTTCTTGTTGTTGAATCAATTGAACAATTTCAAAATCTCCCAGAACATCGATTAGTTCTTGTTTGAAACTAGAAGTAAACAATATACATTATCTTTTTTTGTTTATTCAAATAAACGAAACGTACGTGTAATTAAATGATAACCAAGCTGTATTGTTTGCACTTCTTCCTTGCCAAAAATAAACGATACGTTCAGTATCGGAATCTTTGATCTCGTCTTCAAGTTCACTTATATCCATGTTTTCATCTTCGCTTGGCAATAAATAACGAGCAACAAACAGATAAGAATCGTGCGAATAGAATTGTCCTAGAAGGAATCAAAGCGCCAGATCAACTTCTTGAAAATTGAACCTTTCTACAAACCTCGTTCATCATCTGGTAACTTGACGAATTTTTTATTTTCGTAAACAAACATGGAAAATGGTTGAAGGAGAAATATATTCCAATCTTCAAGCGCTTCATGAGCTGCAGCACGAGACTGCCATGGTGGGCGGTTTTTAAATAGAGCGGTGAGATTTGTTTTGATTTCGTTGTCTTGAAGAATTTTCTAAAGGGAGAGAACGTATTAAAAGATTCATTCGATCGATAACGCCCTACAAACCTTCATGTCGGCTCCCTTCTTCGAAACATTGTCAGCTGTACGAGTGAAATCAACTGCTAGGACATCATCCCATGCATCAAATTTAGATTTAAATACTTGGGTTTCCACTCTAAACAAAAGTAAAACATGGAAATTGACATTGAACCAATCGATCGTCTCACCCTTCTAATGTTTTTGTAATTGCAGCATGTTCTGGTCGTCTAATCATGGCCAATAATTCAACTGCTAATCGCGTGGCAGCCATTCGGACAAGGCGTGCTGATTTTTTACCAATCCTATGTATTCAAAGGAGTCATTGACGCTTTTTCTATTTCAACAAAATGTATTCAACATACCAAACGAATAACTCCGTGTAACAATCAAGTATGTAAATATTTCGTGTATGTAATAATTCTTTCTTCAAAGCACCGCCAGGTTCAAGTTCAACTAGAAGAAAAATCTCAATAAAATATCGTTTTTTTTCGCAAAACTAAGCAATTCTACCTTGAGGTAACTCAATAAATTCTTGTCCAAGATCAACTTTATACAGAATAGATCTTGGTGGGACAAAATTATCTGGTACATGATTAACTAGTTGGTAATTAGCTGGTTTACCACCTAATTCTTTCCAGAACGCGTCTGTTTCATCTCCTTGATTGATTTGAATTAATTCGCTCAAACCCTTTCGTTCACTTTTGTTCACTTTTTCAACAAATAATCTAAAAATACGAGCAAAGATTGTGAATATCGAAATTCGATCAGCTAATGAGCATACCTTGTCTTGGCTTTTGTCATACTATGACATTTTTTGCCAATCCATATGTAAAGTTTAGGTCCAACATCAAGAAAGAACACATAGCGAGAATCAAGAGATGTTGCACTTGCAGAGACAAGTTCAACATGGAGTTTTTGAGTGCCACTAGCACGATAAAAACGTATTGGGTGTTCCTTAACAAGCGAAGAACATTTTCATTTGGATGAAAAGAGCTGATTCATAAGTACATACAACATCTCGTACAACCCAAAATCCTGTTTCTGTTCTAGCACCATCAATTACTCGTAGATGATTGTTAAACAACGCTAAGAATTCTTCAGATTCATCTGCTTGTTCTTCACGTTGTGTACGACAAGACGCACCAAGCATATTACGTAAATTCACAGCATGCATTGCTGCACATGCTTGTTTGTCCAACTAAATAATCATACATGAGTTTAAAGACAAACAATAACAGCCATTCCATCCTTACCGTCGCATCTTTCCCAATCCAAAAGAAGATTTGCCAATCCATATTACCTGATAATTCTACCATAGTGTACAAGACAATGTAGCAATCTCCTGTATAAAATGTTCCATTTAATTGACGTTCTAATTGTTTGGGAAGAAAGTTTTCGATTTCCCAACAGGTTATACCAGCGCATTGGCCGGCAGCATCATCAAAAAATTCACTATAGTTCAATTGGGGTCGTTCAATTTGTTCATCCCAGCGGCGCCCGGCTATTTCTTCGTCATCATTATAATGACCATTGTTGCCCAAACTTGAATCTAGTGCATGTTTACGTTTTGCTGTCTCTCGCATACCACGTAGAACCGTTTCGGATGAGCCACCGCTGCCCGCTGGATTTCGCTGTTCGGGTTTATTTAAACGGCGAATACGTGCTGCACGCTTTTGTTGAATATCCGTGCTAGCAGGTGACTGTTCAGGAGCAACTTGTCCAGCTAGTTTTAATTGATTTGCAAGAGAAAAATCAATGTTGTAGAACGCCGGACCAGAGCCCTTTTGACATTCTTTTGGTTTAGGCGGCATAACAAAATCTGGATTTTCACCAACATCAAGTTCCTAGAGATAAATATAAAAAATTGCTTGGCTTGTCTTAATCCCAGATGACTATTCATTCGCTTCCGTGGAATTTCTTTTCATTCTGCAGATCTTTCACCTTCGATACGGAAGAGCGTGAAAGGTTAAGAAATAGATGTTTTCGTTTCAACTCGATCGAAAAGGTTTTCATTGACCTTCGCATGTCTAGACTATTTCGAACAACGAGGATCATATGAGCATATATTTTCGCATGCATGAAGGCCCAGTTCACACAAAAGTTTCAAAACAAAACAAAGATCGACTGACAGATAAACATTTAACGAATCCTTCTGACTTACTTTTAATTGTAGGAAATGAATCGCTTCCGGTAATGTCAATAATCTATTCTTATTCAAATTTAAGACTTTCAAACTTCCTAATCGACATAATGCATCAGGAATTGTTTCTAAATTATTATCTGCGGCACTGAATACTTCTAGTTGTTCGAGATTGAAGATTCCTCGCGGCAAACCATGAAGATTGATTTGATTACTATTCAAATAGAGACGTCGTAATTTTGTGCAACGCATCAATTGTTGTGGAAGACTCTTCAAATTATTTCGACATATTTGTAAGATTTCCAGTTGAGGCCATCCATCTAGAAGAATACGAGATTGGCATTGATCTCGAGCAATAAAGATTAATTCAACCTGATTGAGCAGTTAATTCTGTGATTTGATTATCATTCAAATTCAATCGTTTCAATGCTTTCAATTTATATACAACATCCGGGACAGCCGGAAGATCATTTGCTGATAGATCAAGATCTAAATAAATGTCAACGTAAGACTTGATGTCATCGAGAGAAGATTTATACCAGAGAGATTAGGTAACTGTTCAAGTATAGCTGGAACATTGTTTAACGTTCGTTTGGTATTACTCAAATGAAGAGTTTCAAGTGAATGCATGGATGACAATTGTCTAGAATAAATTAAACAACTCTCAATTGTAAAGTAGAGGATTGCTGAAGTGTACCTAAGTTGTGCGTGCACGAGTGGATTATTGTTTAAAATTAATACTTGTAACGATGTTAATCGACGCATTTGTGCTGGCAATGTGTCTAAAGAGGATTGATTTAGAAGCGAATATGATTCATTTAGTTGACCTTTACCGATTTTATTATCACTTAAGTTTAGATGTACTAATTCAAAAAGTGAAACGAACACATGGTTGGGAATTTGTTCGATGCTAAAAGGAAAGAAGATTTTGTAAGAAGTTGAAAGAATGTCTCGTTTACATACTGATTTGATGAAAGATTAAGAACAATCAGACCCTTGGCATTTTCAATATCTTTTGGAAATGCATGAAGATTGTTTCGACTTAAATCTAGTATCGATAGGTCAGGTATATCAAATAATCTTGCCGAAATTTGTGGGTTCGACACATGATTGTCTCGTAATGTTAATGAACGTAATGATGTTAAATCGTTCAAACATAAAGGCACTTCTGGTAGATCATTATGGGCTAAACTCAATGTTTCCTAATGAAAAGAGAAAAAAATATATACTTTTGAGATATTCACAAAGACAGATCGTACGAGAGATTGAAGATGTCCAATGAATTCTGGTAGACGATTGATATTTGTTCGATTTAATTCTAACCAGCGCAGATTACACATTTCTTGTATCGGGATTGGAAATTGCTGTGCATCCTAAATAGTAAAGATATCAATGATATTGTTTGCACGCATGATTCGTTTATTTCATACTCCGAATTCATTTTTCGACAAATCTAATCCGTAAATATAAGGTAGAAGAACCGAGGGGGCCATTTTGTCATAGAAGAAATTAATAAAAAAAGAAATATGTGTATATATATTGTCCTTCCATGAAATGATTCATTCGAACGGTTATGATTTGTTTTCGAATAAATATCCGCTAGATGGCAATAGGTATATCTTCCAATAAGAAAACAGAACAAATGTTTATTTGTTCGATGATAACGAACATGATCATTTGATGAAGAGCGTTTGAAAACGAATGATGTTATCTTTACTCGAAGTCAAAAGCAAAGTAAGATTGTTTGATAGGAAATATAGGAAATAAAAATTGTGTTCAATGTAGTTTGGTGCTGAATTCCGTCGATTTGAGTTAGATCGAAAAATTCCAATCAAATTCGACGATTTCTATCGATTAGTCGAAGATTTACATGGGTTACAATCGATTTCATTTCATGTCACTTATCTCGATAAAGATGGAGAATTACTTTCGATTAATAATGATACAATTATTGAACATATTCTGCGAGTCTACTCAGGTCTGTTGAGAATTTTTGTACAACGGAAAGGTAAGATGAATTGCTTTTGGATGATGCTTTGAACGCATTGTTTTGTAGGTGAATCGTATCAATATGCAAGTGATTCATTGAAAAAACGGAAAAAGATTTCGGATCAGATCTCTTCATTTATTCATCCGTCCTCTGACAAAAACATTCATTCGCCTCAGCGTAACATTGAAATTCAGCCAGATTTTCGTCTAGTTTCATCGATCATCGACGTGGAAAAGTTACCTGTGACATATCGTCGTGTGAGATTACATCGTTATAAAGAAAGCAAACCACTCGGATTTTACATTCGTGATGGTGTCGCCATCAAATACGGTCCAAATGGTGTAGAAAATGTTCCCGGTGTGTTCATATCACGTCTGTTAGCTGGTGGTTTAGCAGAATCAACTGGTTTATTATCCGTTGGAGATGAAATCATTGAAGTTAATGGAATTGAAGTTAGCGGAAAATCTTTAGACCAAGTTACTGATATGATGGTTGCGAATAGTCATAATTTAATTATCACTGTTCGCCCACAAAATGATACATTCAATTTGAAACGTACGATGTCGACATTATCAACAACAAATCGAAATAATACAAGTAATATGACCAATCAAAGCGCAGGTTTAAGTGATGAAGATGATGATTTATATCGCTTACAAGATACACATATCGATGCTCATTTACCTAAGACGCCATCCGTGTTAAAATTGTGAATCTCATTATGCTTATAGTCTTCACTGTTATTCAATCTCTAGACAATCATTCCAAGGAATTTTCTTCTCTCCTTTCTCTGTGTACATACTCTCTACGTTAATACATGTATGTGTATGTCTTTTTAAACATGTTTATGATCAGAATGCAATAGAACGAAATTGTTTTGTTTTTCTCTGTGTATCGTCGAAAAATAGTCGATCAAAACTTCTACTTCTTTATACTTGTTATTTGCTTTATTTCATCATGATAAAGTATATCCATATATTCACTTTTCTTTGGTTTTTCAAAAAACATCAATAAATATTGCTTTAAACAGAGTAACTGCGAATGTCGATGATGAAATCATGCCATCTTTGTACAAACTGTACTATTCAGATTTCCCAAGAGTTCTGATCGATATCTTTACGCATGAAACCATGTAAAGTCAATGTATTTATGTAAGAAATCGAAAGTATGTGCACATTGAAAAGAACAAAAAAAGGTATATTCAATTTCTGATTGATTATGCGGTAGAATACTTATAGCAAGGTAATCGAAAAACCATTAGAAAGCAAATATTCTATAAACTATGGATGTTTGCTGCACTAATATATAAAAAGAATTTGGTTCTTTTGGGAAGTAAGCAATTCACATATGTAGAAGATGATTATAATTAGAATCGATGATATAAGTGCACGTAGAGATTACATTGATCATATGGCGAAAAACACAATCGCACTTTGGTGAGAATATTGCATTAATCTTTTATATATTCATATGGAATAGTTCAACAAGTTGCGGCAAATGTGACAGCTTCATTAGAGAAGTCCGAAGCAGGACAGGTCATTAATAATCACGATATGTCTATGTAGTATTTTTTTATGCCACACAATTCTTCTCTTGCCTTTAGACTTACCTTTTTTCTCTTTTTCTTTTTTCTCTTCTTTTCTTTTTTTAGTCGTCTATAACATCTGAAATTATTTAACAGGAAAAAAAGAGTTTCATGTATACTCCGGTCGGAAATTATTATTCGCTTCTCTCTTCTTTGTCGTCGTCCTGCTTCTCTCTTTAGTAAGACATACACACGTGTGCACACAACTCTCGATTGAGAAAAACTACAAAGAAAATAACAACGCGTGACGAATATACACATCAATTGCAGAAACATTGCCAGGCATTTGTACTCTAATGTCGACAAGTTCAGACACAGCCGAAGATGATCGAGTAGTGGCTAAATGTTATGTTGAATTGGGTTATGTTACAAAGGAAAAAGGAGACTTTGATGAAAGTCTCCGTTATCATCGTAAATCAATGGAAATCTTCGAACGGATCGATGACCCACTCAGTGTTGCCGATAGCCATTTGAATATTGCAGAAATTTATAAGGCAAAAGGTGAATTAAAACAAGCAATGAATGAATATGAAATTGGCTTCTCATTATATGAAGATGTTTACGTGGACGAAGCGAATAAGAACAGTGATAGTGGAACTGACGTTTCGCTCAATTCGTCTTCGTTTTGTGACCCACTTCATGTCAAATCTCTTAGCAAATCAGAGGAAATATTACCGCAAGCGATACTTATCAATACTATACACAAAGACCCATCGCCATCGTCTCCTCGCCACTTGAATTACGATCGATTAAATTCGTCTAAGTCATCAAAAAATATCGAAAGTATGGATGACTCGGCTTTGATTCTATCGAGGAAATCAACTGATAAAATACACAAATCGCTTTCATCTTCATGTGCATCTGATTTACAAAATCTTGATGATCCCGATGTATTTCTTCCAACGACGCCATTGGATCTTGCCTATGAGACCACGAATGACGCAGTCCCTTGTATCGATGATCTACTACCATTGTTAGCATCTCTTCAAACAACAGATCTATCCTCACTTGACAGGAACGCAGAAGAAACCGATAATAATAATGTTCACAAGAATATGGAAACAAAAGGTCTTCAAAATCAGGTAAGAATTTGTTCGATAACGGAAAATATTTAATTGTGATAAACTCAATAGAACGAAATCCATTGTCAAAATCAGTATAGTCTTCCGAAAAAACAACTTCTGATTATTATTCTCGTTATTCTCCTAACCGGTGTATTCTATCTGTCTCTGCAAGAATTTTCATCCACAAAATCAAAACTGAAGTGGTCATCCGGTGATTCTTCTGTGTATATCAATTCGCGTAGTCATTCGGGTCGAGATGATCTAGGTAAACAACTTCGAAAACTGTTACCTTGGCGAAAGAGTCAAATGGCTTCTCTCGACAAAGATACACGACGAGTTGTCGAAGATTTTCTCTCCTCTGGATCTGATTTTCGTTCGAAGTTAACGATTGATAAGTTTCAAAAACTATTAGACTTGTTAGATTTAAAAATTGTCTTAGTACCACGATGAAAAAAATCACGTACACAAGAAGTCAATAATTCTGCTCAGTTTATGTTTATTTGTGAAGTTTTATATAAATTCAAATGCCTCTAGACTATATTAGCATTAAAAGTATTTTATTACAAATCATATTCATTTTCATTGTTGGATAAATAATACAACAAAAGGAGGAATTCCACATGTATGATCTTTCGAGAAGCAGTCTGACACACACAACTGCTATTTGCACTCATCCTTCGACTTTTTTTTTTATAAATAAAAAAGTGTATCTTATGCAGGAAAAAACCTTGGAAAAGATGCCTGCGTGCATCGTTCATATGTAATGGAATTAAACATCAGCAGCAACTTGGTTTCAATTTTCAACTCGTGCAATGTTGACATAGTCATCTTATATGGCAGAAAATAAATATCAAACAGCAAGATTCAATTTGGAAAGAGCTTCAATGAATTAAACGAAAAGGTTGATTCGTGTAGAAGAATGCGAGATATGTCAATGGTAAACTTTGTCATATCTTTGTTCAATCGATCACGGTGAATAAGGACAAACTAAAACAAGCGATGATTTTATACTCAGTGCACTCGATCATCATGCACTCTATTATCCTTTTCTCTCTCTCTCTCTTTCTTCGTTATTTTTCTTTTCTGTTTGAAATTTTATTCTCGTGCGTCAATTCGAACGCGTCAAATAACCTACTCGTCATTATACGTCTATTAGTTCACGAGAAGAAACCTTTCAGTGTGAATATGCCTCACAAAAAGCCAGTTACTGATACTTATCATCCGATCGGCTACGAAGAAAATCAACAACATCTCGGCAAACACGAAAAACCCAAAGACAAAGAAGTCGAAGGGCCACAAGCTGGACTTGGTGGTGAAAAAGGAAGCAGAATATGTGGACAAGCTGGTCCTGAACTACTAGGAGGTAAACTATTTATTTGATGAAAAGAGAGAAAAAAAGATTGACAATGTTGATTTTCTTTTACAAAACAACAAACATATAGGGTCGGCAAGTACACGTATTCTTGGTCAATCTATTGATGAACAGCTGACGAAAACTTTACCACCGAGTAGTAAATGATTAGCATGCATATAATGTTATAATTGTGCTTTGTAAAATAAAAGAGTGCTGCTGATCGTGTGGATAGACTAGAGCTCATCAACTCTATTTTCTTGTTGTGTTGGCTGTTGCTCTTGGCCACTGAGAGGCAAACAGCTGACATGTTCGCGCAAAGGCTCTTCAGGTTGTATGGCTCGTTGAAGACGCTAGAAAAGAGATTCAGAAATGTGATACTATTGACACATTATGACTAATGTATACTTCATCAAAATCTTTGCCAGGCGTGATGATTAATTTGTACACTGCATAAGCTGGTATACATAACATAGGAACAAATACCATCAGATATGACCAAACTTGAACATTAGTTGGTAAATTTCTAAAGCTAATTCGTTTAATTTCCATATTACCAAAGAGAAAATTGTCCATCGAAATATAAAATATCATCTAAATCGAATATAGTTTGTTATCGAGAAATAAACATTCAAGAAGAAAACCTGAAATGACTCACCAGTAAGAAGAGTGGACTAACGATGTACCATATTACACGCCAAAACAAGGATGGCCGGTGACCGATCATTGCTTTGATATCATTAGAAAATCGATTAACGCCTGAAAAGAAACGCAAATCAAAATTCAATCATAGAAAAGCAACAAATTTTACCATAAAACCATGAGACAGCAATACATTCAACAAAGACGACCAAAAGCAGTGCAGGTGCAACTGACACTTCATTCATCAAATTGACAATATAATCGCCACCGTAGGTACATGTTGGTAGTGCACCAAGATAGCATATGACCAGTACACCTAGGACAAATAATGATCGATGCCGACCAAAGATTTGTGGAAATTCATCGCATAGGCCTGTAATAATCGATTCCAAACCGCCGAACTAAATTGAACGAAACATTGTTGTTGTTTATAACAAACAAGATGTTGATGATAAAACTCACTGTGCTGTCAATACCGAGAGTAATCAACATGAAGAAGAACAGAATAGACCATAGTTTTGACCAATTCATTAGAGCAATTGTGTGTGGATAAACAATGAAAACAAGTTCCGAACCTAAAATTTTCGACAAGATCTATCTTGAGTAGATAGATGCAGGCACTCACCTTTGTCTTCAATAACTTGTTCGATTGTTTTATGCGACACATCAGCCATATGACCTAATGTTGAAAAAACGACAAAACCGGCCAAGACTGAAGTGGCACAGTTGATTGAACTTGTTACCAATGCATCTCTAAAATATAGAACACGGTCTCTAAGCCGCAAAGCCAAAGCGTCTTCTTTACCGATAGCAATTATTATGAAATTTATTGTAAGACGATAGTGCTAGGAGAACACCGAAGCCCGGTCCAAGTGAAAAAAAGATTTGGGTCGCAGCTGCATTCCAGATCTATTCGAAAAGATCTTAACGAACTGTGTATGCTATGTCAGAAACTTGATCTTACGGAAAAACTTTTCAATAGCTCCATTTTTGGCTGAAGATAGTACTGAATGCCTATAGATGAACCTGAAAGAGTTATACCACGTAACAGTAGGATCAAAAGAATTGCATAGGGTGCAATTGCTGTAATCCAGACTGCCTAATCGCAGAAGAATAAAACAAAGCATGAGACAAAGAAATGATGAAAAGTTACTTTTCCTGAACTTTTGATGCCTTTCCAAAGTGCGAAATAGACGAAAATAAAGACAACAAAAAGGCAAGCAGCAAGTTCCCACTTTATTTTGCCTAAATCATTGAACGAGTTTGCTTTGTCAACTTCTTGAACACGTCGACTAGAACATACATATTAGTATCTATTACAACTATCCCAAACAAACTTTACAAGAAGAATTCTTCAGTTGAATAAACCAACCGAGTGCAATTTTCTCTCGACGATCTCGTTAATAACGATGTGGCATTCAAGACCTTTTTTGTCAAATTATTTAATTGTTGTGTGTATTGATGCTCATGAGCACTAGCAGCTACGCAACATTCTGTATTCCACGGATGATGACATTCTTTCCAGGGTAATGAAGATCGAATATTAAAGATTGTCATAGCTAAATAATAAACTGCCCAAGAAATGATAGTATTGTAGAACATTGCCATCATAAAATTGATTAAAACCGTAGCCCAACCGACGCCTTTTACCAACGGGCAGATCTAGATATCGATACCTTCAGTTTTAAATATGAAAATCATAATAAAACTTACATGCGTCCAAACAGTAAAGACACCTGATCGATGGTATTGGCCGAGAGCAAGTTCCATACTAAGTACAAAGGGATGGGTTTTATTACCACAATAAAATTCAACAAAACAAAAATGCATACTAGAACAGTGGTAGACCACCAAAGATTAGAAGAATGAAATACGGGATAAAAAAGGCTCCTCCACCGTTCATATAAACGATAGTTGGAAATCGCCAAACATTGCCTAAACAAAAATAAACAGCATACCAACATGGTGTTTGATCATAAAATGAAAAGAACAATCACCTAAATCAACCGCATAACCAATAACTGCAAGCAGAAATTCAACTTTATGATCCCATGCATCTCTTTCGATCGTTATTTGTTGTAAAGCTGGTTTCCATGAAACAGGTAGATCTATGCTTGCCTCAATTGTTTCCACTTCCATGGTCGTACGTACTGCTCCCGTGCCATTTTCATCACATTCAACTTTCAAATTCGACGAAGTTAACCGTATGCGATCATCCGTATTGCTATGTCGACCATCGCCGCTAATTGTCGATTTCAATTTACTTAGATTTCGTAATTGTTGTATATGATAACTAAGCTCAGCATTCGTTGAACTGTGCGATCGAATAGGTTGTTTGCTTTTGATTCTCGTTTTAGGCATATTTAAAGGTGATGTCTCTGTTAAAGTTTGATAATTGAAACCACTCGATGATTCTTTCTTAATTGTAGGAACGATTGCATTTGAAATGTTTCCACTTGACGTCGCTCGTTTTGTGTTCATATCCGATTGTGATCCTGGACTAGCCGTAACTGATGATTTTTTATTCGTTGCCATGGACACTGACGGACGTCCCTGAACGATTGAACTCAATGAATCGCGTCCCGAACGACGACGACCAGTTTCACCAACAGGCCGCGCACTGGCCACAGTTGTTCCGATGTTTACGGTCTGAATGATTGAAGAAGACGAAGATAGGAACTGATCGATTTGTCTTTCAATGGTACGAAAGCAAGACTTGTATGAAAATACAAACCGACAAATAATAGCGCAAGAAAAGATAACAGGACTGAAATCTTTTTTGTCACTTTGACGAAGCCTTTCTCATATTTTCTTCTTTGACTTGTCTATCATTACTGATCCGAGAGAAGAGATGGATTTGCTTCTATTTTTTAGTTCGATCTCGAAGAAATATTCATATGCATTTGATATGTTATATTCATAATTAACATTCGATGCTTTCTTTTGTTTCTCGTTAATATTCCAGTTGTCACTGAAGCGAAGTGATTTGCCTTTTTGATTAGATAGACAACTTCGAAGACATCCATGCGTTTTCTTATTTGATAATGGAAAAATGAGCTGAATAATGACAAGAGACGAGATTCTGTGATTTGATATCATCGAATGTCCATCTTTATTTCGGAGAAAAATAGAAGAAAACACAACACATTGGAAGTCTTAGATCGATGATGTTTATTATTTTTTCTTTGTGCCTTTTTTGCTACCAGATGCTTTACCTTTACCAGACTTCTTTGAACCTTTCGGTTCAGTACCTGGAGCAAATACAACAACTTCAACACGTTTACCTTGACATTTAAACTAAACAAGAAGAAAACAAAACGAAGTGAAACATTTCGTTTCATTTCCTACCTGATTGCATTTCCGACAGTGATCCGGCTGCGTCATCAATCCATGAAAATCACCATGAAGACATTCAGAACAGTAACGTGTACCACAGAATTTACACATATATGTCTAGATAGAATTGAACTGTACCGAAGACTCAACAAGCAATGATGCAATTACCGATTCATAATCAGGACAACCCCATCGACACATTACGAGAGATCGAGTTGATTTATTTTTCTCAAACGACTTCCAAACTCACCTCCCACTTGTCAGTTTTGTTGATGAAACAAGAAAGAAATATGCCATGCAACAATCTCTCATTTCTTTTTCTTTACTCAGATATATTTTTTTTCGTTCGACGCCGGTGTTGTTTGTCTACAATCAGAACAGTGAAAAAGAACGAACTGTAAAATAACAAATGAGCACGTTGAGAAAAGTCTATATTGAACTTTAATTATCGTCATTTTCATAACATAACACAGACAGTAAATGATAAAACTCAAGAGATACTTCAAACAGTCAATCGATAAACATTACTAATGCACATCATTTTCGAGCTTTCACACTCAAAATAAAAGAATAACAGTTGATGTCTGCGAATGGTCAGTATAATCAAATCTGTTCAATCTTGAGACAATAGCTTCTCTTTTTTTCATAACTTTAAATCCAAAGCTTGCACAATGTGAACGAAGCTTTCGCCGAAAGAAACGAAACGAAGAAGATAAAACGATTTTTATCGAACACCAGATGTCGCTAGCTTCTTAATACGTATCTAAACAAGTTTACAATGTATATAGAGGTTGAAGTGCTTCACTTATGGCAAATATTTAACACAAGGTTGTTGTTTTTTCCTTCTATCATCGTCATTCACTTCATTCTGTCTTTTAAAATATCAACGATTTGTTTCCTCATAATTTGTCTTCTACTTCAGAAAATAACGAAGCTTGTGTATGGTTTAATTCGCTTATCCGATCGAACGAATACGTATGACGAGAGAGAGAGAGCGCCTGTGCAACGTTCATTTCGCCTAACTGTTGTATTTTTGTTTCAATAGAGATAAACATCAGTCGAGCAATGACTTCAAAAACGAGCGACTCAAATATACGTCCAGCTGTTGTGGTTGCTTCCGCGTCGACATCGAAAGGTAAAATAAAATCCCAATCTTTCAATAGATAAAAAAATTGGAAAAACATCGGCTTTGTATATTTCTTTTTGGAGAGAATCCTATTTTCATCTCTCTATTTTGAAAATTGAAGTTATATACCGATGTTGTTGATGCCTGCTCTATTCTAGTGATCATGTTTGAAAAAAAAAGAAGGTAATATGCCTCCTTCTCTTCTCGTTCTTTTTTCTCTTTCTCTGTGCATAAATATACAGAAGAAGATGAAGAAGACAGTTGAGATTTCTTGAAAACCGTAAGTTAATCTATTTGAAAACAAAAAACGAAACAAGATAAGATCTTAGGATGATGATGCTTGGCGTGTAAAAACGAACAAAAAAAACTATCGATACAGGCTGGAGGAGAGAGAGATCTAAGATTTCAGAGAATTTCTTCATTTTTTCTGTTCATGTTGTTCTTGTTGTTCTTGTTGTTGTTCGTGAGTGTTGTGCGCGCGTAGATTTGCCCAACAAAACAGCAAAAACAATAGATTAATCAACACGTTGCGAATATAATATTAAAAAAAAACAACAACAACTAGACCTTCTAATTCTATTTCAACTAACATTCAAATAACCCTTCACATATTTATTTTGTGTGTGTGCGTATTCTCTCACTTATTTGTTGGTTCTTCTTTGCATGTTCTTCAAATCTATCTATGCTTTCTTCGACTCATTTTCTTGGCTTTGGCTATGACTATTGCTTGACTTGGTACACGATGTGATTGTGCATGCTATGATGTTTATATATATATACATATTCTGTTTTTGTTTTCTATTCATGGAATCAGCCATCATCATCATCTTCTTCCACGATGGTCAAATATCAACTATATCGTCCAGCAGATCAGTAACCGCCACCTTCAAATTTCTTTAATGACTTCAAAAACACAGCCATGCTTCTTCTTCCCCTAACGCTTTTGTCACTTGCGTGTGTGTATATTATATCTGCTTTGCTCGTTGGATAAGCCAATTCTGTAAGATACTTTATCTAAAGCTTGAAATTCTCATCAAGATCGATTACATACGAGCACAGACACATTTTCTATCTCTTATCTTGTTATAGGAAAGAAGTTTTCTCTCTATGATCAGATGTTGATCTCATCACATATACCGATAACTATTCTTTCCAGATTGGTTGGTTATTTACGTGATAAATGATTGTGCTTCGTTTATTGCATGACTGCTTGATTTCCTTTTTCTTTTAATGCACGACTAATCCCAACTTAGTTTAGTTGAATAGATGATTGTGTTTATTTTGCTGCATTTGTATTACACGTAGCTTCCTTGAAATCGACTTATCTGATATTTGAAATGATCAAACCTCTATTTTTTATTTACCAACTTTAGTCTCTGAACGTATGCATATCTACGAGGTAAAGACAACTCATTATTTTTTATCGAATAATCGTCTTTTCTTTCCTTTTTGTTCGTCAAAGACAAACAAAAACGATTGATTTTAATAAAAAACGAAACTTATCGACACATTCTTTCTTTGGGGCTTTCTTTGTTGTGCATGTGTGTCATTCTGACGGATGTTTTGTTTTTTGGTTTTCACCTCTCTCGCTATATCTCTATGCTTGTAGCCAGCAGAAACACTGATCATCATGTAAACAAAACGGTGAGGTAATCGTGTTTTATTCTGCACTGTAATTAAATGACAATCAATAACTAACATATCAGTCGATGCACGTTAACCGTTTAGTTTTGCTCGTGATTTGCATGCTTAACTTCTTTATTTTATTTTGCCTTCGTGTCATATTTAACAAAATAGAAAATTAATAAACTGTTTCATCTCTCTCTCTTCGTCTCTCTCTCTCTCTCATTCTCATTGTTCAGTGTGTTTCCGTGTGTTATTTTATTTTCTAGTCGATTGTTATGCTCTGTTTTGTATATTTATTTTATTTTTCAGGAAGTTAATAACGAGGTATTTTCTTTTGTCTACATAACTATATATATATCTCTCTCTCTTCTCTGTGCCATAACACAATGCATTTTTTTTAGTCTAGCTAAAACTGTATGCTCGCGCAACTATTTCCCCCAATCGATTCATATTGGATCTTATATATTATATATACTTAAATTTGTCGAAGAATATTGATTAATCTCGGTCTTTTTTTTTATTTTGTTTTCAATAGAATCTTCACCAGCGTCAAATGATAAAAGGTCCAAGAAATCGAAACATGTAAGTTGGCTCATCTGTTATTATCCAGTGCGAGGAATCAATGAGAATTGGAGCATATATTTCGCTTTTTCTAACTTCTTAGATAATTTAAGATCTACTCGAAGTAAATATTTAGCTTGGATTTCAATGTAATTAACGAAGATCTTTTATAAGCTGATACTATCTTTCGTTTTAGGGTTCGAAATCAAGCTCAAGAGATCGTGAAGGTAGTAACAAAGATAATCGAAATACAGAATCCACAAATACTCTTTCGTTTAGAAAAATCGCGAAAACATAAGAAGAAACATCATCGATCGAAGAAAAGTTCAAGCGAGAAGCGTGATTACAATGATGATGATGATGCACCCCCATTACCACCACCACCACCACCCGATGAGACCATACCGCCACCGCCACCACCACCTTTACCTCTTTCGAATTCTCTCGACGAGACCGAAGAAAGTTCGACAACAAATGGTATAGTTATGAAAACGAATTTACCGTTGTCACGGTCACCACCACCTGTCATGCCAAACATCTTACGTCAAGGCTCTCGTCCACGTTTGATTGCGAAGGAACAATTGGTTCCATCTCCTGTCATGCAATCCAATGAAACCAACGAAAATAGCAAATCTTCTCCAACATCTACAACAAACACAAATCACACAGAAGACTTAGCGACGAAAAAGTTTGAAGAACAATTAGCTTTACTTGATGCTACTTCGTCGAAATTAACGATGAATAATTGGGAGCAGTCGAGTGAAGGAAGTGAAGAAGATGAACAAATCGAACGCATATGTCGAATGAACAATACGGGTAGCATCTCAGGACCCATCCAATTCAAATTTAATCGTACACAACATTTACCGTTGAAAACTTCTGCAGTGTCGAATGATGTTGCAAATAATGAAGAAGAACCTGAACCAGTTGTAATGTCGACAAGAAAGAAACGTTTACACAAACCAAATGATCCAATAACGGGCTCTCATTCATCATTGTCAGGTGATGAGAACGAAAAAGCATTGCAGACCAAAAAACAAAAGACATCTGAGAGTATGTGAAGAAAAAAAACTGTACTTAATCGAGGTCTTATTCTTTTAAAAGGAGGAAATGATTTTTACAAACTTTGAACATGTCTCTAATCGAATTTCGAGATAAATTGCAGAGATTCTCTAAATCTTGTTTCACTCGACTTTTTGCTGCAATGCTTTCACTTCTCTATAGGCTAATATTCGACGAAATACTTCGTTAAGGCAAGAGATCTAATGTCCTTTTCTTTTCTTCTCTATTGCTATTGGCGATCTCATATAATCTATTATATTTTGGCGGCTAATCTCGACGCTACCGCAGCTAAGCTCTTTGCTTCTCTCATGCATGTCAAGCCACAGTTACCTTCAACATATACACGTATATGTCAACACGCGAGCGTGCATCTTGTTATTTCGTCATTTTGTTTGATCTAAACTTTAACGAAAATTGTTCTTGTTGAGCAAAACTTTCATGGGATTTTGTCATTTTTTTTCTTAGACGAATCAACTGAACCTGTGACAACGGATGAACAACAAACAGCACCAGTAACCGCAGATGGAGATGAGAAGTCTGAAGCACTTAAAAGTGAAGAACCAGTTGCTTCAACGACAGCTGTGAAGAAATCAGAGGAAGACGACAATGGTGGTGATTGTAATCATGGCTCCCGATCATCATCTGCATCGTCAAGGTCTCGAAGGCATAGTAGTCATCGAAGACATCGAAATCGTCGTCGTCGTCGTCGACATTCATCTTCATCAAGTTCACGCTCTTCCTATTCAAGCACATCGTCTGATAGTTCTCGTTCATCGTCCAGTCGATCACATCGAAGACGGCGACGCCAACGATCACGTATGCTTTGCACATTTTTACTTCTTGCATCTCTGTAACTAAATTTGGTTTAGGTTCATCTCGTTCGTCGTCACGTTCGTCCACTAGCTCAAGTGATAATCGTTCGCGGCAGAGTAGCCGAAGCAGTCGTCGCTCCTCTCGTTCCTATTCTCGGCGACGTTCATCGAGTTCACGAAGTTCTCGTTCGTCGACATCATCACAAAGTTCAAATAGTCGATCTAGATCTCGTAGTCATAATCGAAAAGTATCACGACGTTCCAATAATAGCCATCAGCTACAATCACATAACAATGGAAAAGGACGAGGAGCTGCAGCGCGTCGTGGTCGTGGTGCACGAAATGGTCCACGTGGTCGTCGTGCTCGGTCAAACGACAATCTACGTCGATCACCTCCTACAAATCGCAATGGAAACAAATATAACGGCCCACTGGGTGGTGCTGGTATTCGTAAGCTACCCAATAATAAGCAGCCGCGTGTGCTTATTGCTGCAACACCAAAACTTCCAAACACCGAAGAGAATATTGATGAAACAGCAGCTACATCAACAACGGGAGTGTCCAGTGAAGAAAATAAAATGGAACCGATTATTCTAACTACCAATCAAAATCAACAACGAATCGTTGGACAGAAGAAAAATGCCAAAGGGAAGAATAAGCAACAAACACCAGCGTATTCGTTGAAGAAAGAAGAAAATGAAGATATGGAGCAAGACGATGATGATCCAATCATTGGTCCAAAACTACCACCGGAATTCGAGGTACAACAATTGAGCATAAGGATTCTTTTCAATTCATAGATAAATTCTGTTGTAGAAAAAGATCAGCAAAGATCATTCGTTTACTCCACCAGACATGGATGATCCAGATAACATTGAAATGCTCAATGACTTAAAAGTATGATCGCTGAACATCATCACACTATGCATTTGTTGATAAACGCATCTATTTAGTATCGTGCTGAAATCCATGCAGCTAAAAATCATGGGTTGATTACTGAGATTCAAGCACAACAATTGATTGAAGAACGTGAGACTCAGAGACAATTGGCAGATTTTCCACTCATTCAAATGCCGATCATGTCGTCACCTGCGATTTCCGTAAGAGACAAATATTCAGTCAACTAAACTCACTCATTTCATTTCTCTTTAGTCAATGCCTTCGTTTATTGTTGCTGCGCCTAATCCTGTCCTTGCTAACTACCATCAGCTTCAAGTAGCATCAGCCACTGGACCACAAATAGCAGCTAATCCTGATACATCTTCCGTAACACTTGAACAACAGCAACAACAACAACAGCATCAGCAACAGTTACAGCAACAGCTACAGCTACATCTACAGCAGCAGCAGCAGCAATCTCAAGTACAATCACAAACATCTGTATCGCCTAACTCAGCAGCTTCTAGTGGTGGTGAAAGTTGTTCAACACCTGGTCAAACGACACCAAACGGTACAGCCAATGTATTAACACAAGATGGACAACCGATGATGATTCAAGCTGCAACTAATGGCAGTCCACAATTAGTACAGATTGCTCAACCAGCACAGCAGTTATATATGCCCATGCAAGCTGCTGTTCAGCAGCCACGCGTCGTTGCTGTACGAACACCGCAAGGTAAAGCAAAAGTTTTTGGTCGCTACGTTGGTAAACGGCGATCCTAATGAGAAATTTTTGCCTTTAGGTGGTCTTCAACATTTCATCGAATATCCAACTGCTCAATTATTGCAAGCGCAACAGTCCCAACAGCCTCAATTTATTCAACATAACGGTCAACTTGTGCAGGTTATCCGACCACCGGTAGCGTATTCTGCGCCCACGTTTATGCAACAAATACAGCTACAGCAGCAACAACAGCAAGTACTTGCTGCCCAACTTCAAGCTCAACAGTTGGCTGCCATGCAGCAGACAGGTGGTGCTGTGTTGATGCAAAATTCAGCTGGACAACTTGTGCTTGCTCAACCAAATCCACAAGCGATGCGAGTTGTTCAAATTCCTTATGTGCCTAAATGATACGACAAAAACATATATATGGAAATCGACAGGGACTGTGATACACATCCCATTCTTCAAACAAGACAATAATAAATATGCTTTTGCTTTGTTTTAGTCATCATGTGTATACTTATTTATTCTTTCTTTCTCTCTCTCTCTCTCTCCTAAATTCTGTGTTCTGCGAGCCGTGTCCGGTGATAAAAAATTCTTTGTAAGTTTGATTAATTCCATCAAATGATTTCGAAGATCATACGTACATCTTACAGGTTAGGCTGCTATCCTCTGTATGTGATTGAAAAGAAAAGTAGAGACAACAGAAAAAATTCAATTCAATTCTATTGTTAGTTCTTTGTAAGATATTCTTCTATTCATTTGTTTCTTAAATGTCTATGCTTTTCCTTTTCTTCTCTTCAAATCGTGTATCTGCATTGTTGTTTTCTTTTTCTTTGTCTATCTATTTTTTGCATACAATAAACTAGATACAAAACCAACGTCTTCACCAAAACAACGCCTTCATCTTCCTTCTAGATGAACATCAACAATGATCTTCAGCAATCATATCAACGAAGAGGATGCATCTTTGTATATATTACAATTTTAGCAAGGTGCTGTGGACTGATTGCACTTACTGGTTTGTTACGGACGTTTATTCAGTCAATCGAATCAAAGTTCAGTTGATTTAAGGTCTAATATTCGTAGCCTATCTAGAATGGTTAGGAATAGGTTCATTAAATTCTCGTGTCTACATCACGTAGGTTATATCATTATGGATGAAAATCCGAAATCTAAAAGACCTTCTATTTCGTAGATTTGTGACAATCGTTGTTGCTTATCTGGAACTTCTTTGGGTTTTCAATAAGTTTATCACATGTTGTATATGCTGTTTTCGGTAACGAAGCTTCTGATCAATGATAGAAAAGTGGAGAGAATGAAAATTCGTTATAAACATATATCAGTTATGGGTGATAGTTATTTGTTGAACTGTGATTTCGCCTTTGTATGTTTTGCTGACTATTCTTCCGTATAGTTTTCTTTTGTGCGTGTCTTTAGAAGTGAAGCATGTTACTTTTGGATGTGCTACACTCCGATTGATAATTGGATTAAATCAATCATTTACACTGCGTTGGCCATTCCATTTTTTGTTTCCACATGGGTTCCATCACTCTTCCGAATAGATACGAATGTTGTTGGTAAGAAACAATGTATCAAATAGGTACGCGATCAATTCAACTTCTAGGTCTGCTTTTGATCATTACGAGTTTGGTATATTTCGTCAAAACGTTCAAATACAAGAATATTCTTACCGATGAAAACAACGAAGAAATAAATATCATTGATTCGCCAAGTTTAACTCGTACTTCGTCAACTGTAATCAATGAATCGTCCAGTAGTAAAGAAACACATTTGGAATGATAAAAATACGAACAATATCGAGTTTGAATATTTCCTTGAGAATTAAATTTGGGTCGTGGGTTCAATTTTCTTACAAATAACAAAATCTATTTGATGCTGCACTATTTTCAGATGTCTCTATTAAGATTAAATTTGTTACGTTCCATTCAGCCGACGTTTATTCGTACAGCTAAAACAAGTGCAACAGAATCGAAGAAGAGTGCCTCGAAAAACAATGACGAATCATTTCTAGGCGATGTACCCGCTGACGATGAAGTTCCAGTTGAAGCATCAGAAACAACAGGTCGCGAACGATCATTAAATCGTATTCAACTCATTGGTCGCGTCGGCGCTGATCCAAAGATAGGTGGAACTCAACGACACAAAGTGGTTACATTCAATGTTGCTACGAATGAATATGCAGGAACGGATGCTCAGAATGGTGAAGTCAAGCAACGAGTTGATTGGCATCGTATTGCTGTTTTTCAACCACGTTTATTGGATAATGCTGAGAAATACATTCGTCAAGGTGATCGATTGTACGTTCAAGGTCGCTTGCATCATAATATGATTAAAGATAAGAAGACTGGTCAAGACCGTTATGTAACCAGCATCATTGCTGATGACCTGATCTTCCTCAACAAGAAATAGTTCTTTTGTTATCGTTTTTTTGTTACGTAGATTGAAGTAAAAGAAATTATGATGTTTTTTTTCCGGTGGTTTTTTGCTATGAAAGAATAAAGTAAAATCGTCAGATGTTTATATTGAAGATAATTCACTTCTGTCTCTTCGGTTCGACATGATCGATGTAGCTGAAATTCTACCGTTAGTATGTGTCATTCTCGGATTTGTTGCTATGGTTCTTGTTGCCAGGTATTTCGATTGAGTCGAATCTTTGTCTCCTATTATCATGTTCTTTTCTGTGTTTGTTTTCATATATCGACGCGATCTATTAACAGAAATCGACCCGACTATTCCAATACCTCGACGAGCACAAAATGTCCATGTCAATTATATCGATCGTCCGTACACGCTACAAATTCAAGAAGGACAATCGTCACTGAAAGGTAAAATGAATCAATCGATAAAAGAAATGCATGTTCATAATGTTTTTAGATGGAGTTTCAATACGACTGCATACGAATGTTTCGTGTCATTTGCGAGCCTTTTGGTTTGTGAATATTCAAGATTTCTATAGAGCAATCGATTCAGCAGAGTTTCGAATGGCTCTACGTGAAAATCGGTTTTTGAAAGAACATTGTATCCATCAGCAAACACTGAAGTAAAGTTTAACGAATGGAATAAGAAAGAAATTTGCTTGTTTAGTTTTGAAACACCAGGCGATTATGTTCAACGAATCGAATTTTCTGATGCAGAAAACTATCTAATGAGAAACAATCAAATACGTCGCGAATATCCACTCGTTCTCGTTGTTCACAGTCTCATTGATGACAATTCAACTAATTTCTTTCAATTGGTAAGATTTCTAAATGAGAAACTTTTCTCCGACTCTTACTATTGCTCTTTAGCCGATTCAAATTTCGACATTACATGTCAAATCATCTATACCAAACGATCCTCCTACCAAGTTATTAGTCCAAATCTGTAAGCTTGCCAATGGACAATCACTAATTCTACAAGTTCGTTCAACAGTCATTTTTGTTCTGATTCTAATCCATTGTCCATTTCTCATAGGATATTTACAAACCAGGTGCATTTACCTCCGAAGATGCATGTGCTATATGTCTAACAGAACGTGTTAGTTACGTTTTATTACCTTGCAAACACGCCTGTCTGTGCGAAAACTGTTTTCATCTGACTGAAAAGTGTCCGATATGTAATAATCGCGTTGTATCGTATTTTCGAATATAAAATAAGAATGCAGCAATCAATTTGCTTTTCATGCTTGATATGAATAGTCAGGAATACAATACTGCTGATGATAGCACTCATTTTCGTCAGAGTCAATTAAAATTTGTTGAATAAATTTTGATGATATCATTAATATGCGAGGTTCGTGCATGTTTAGGACATAGAAATGTGTTGTGTGTGGGAGAAGAAGAAAATCTCATTATACCAATCGTGTCGATAGAAAAAAGTGTGACATGATGCCACCTCTTCAATTGCCTTTTCATGACTTTCAACGATAACTCATTTGAAAACAATTGATTGAGATACATGCTAATATTCCAAAGAAGCATAGGCACGTTTCTCGCCTATTCTCACATACATTCTAATTGACATTTAAATCAAGATTTGTTCGTTGATTCATTTCAGTTATTCTTGCCATTCAATAGCCAACAAATCCAACTGCGATCTAGTCAATATGCACGAGTGTTTTCGCTTTCTACTTTGTTTTCTTCTTACATTGTTCATTTTACTCCGTAAGTTACTTCGAGCTGATTATTATTTTCCATTTATGACCAATCTCTTTTCGTGTGCAGATTTTGTACAATGTCGAAATGTGTATACGCCAACAAGCGATCGTGATAAGACTTCGTTGAGTGACCTCTATTCGATGAATCTATGCATGTTTCGAACGAATCGGCTATGTGATTGTAAGTCTCGATTACTTTTCAGCTTGAAATGTAATTCACTTCTAATTGATTTTAGATTTACGTGAAATGATACCAGAAAAAGCGGAGTAAATAAACAACATGCACATGTATTTCTGATGTCTATCTTTTGTTATTTACTTTAGTGATGAACAACAACTTTGGAAGCGTCGTACTAGTAATTTTTACAGTAATTGGTAGAACTTCGCAGTAACACTCTATTAAGTTGTCACTAATAGTCTACATATTGAATAAAACACTGAATCAAGGAGAATGTCATGCATGGAAACAAATCTGATATTATTTAATAAACTATAATACCTCATTTGATTCATATAAGGTTTTCTCGAATCATTAACGAGCTTTCTAGACGCATTTGAAATGTATTTAGTACTTGATAGACTTATCGTTTTGAATATATTCCCATCAATCACCGTCCTTTGATGGCCATAATTGAGAGAGAGAAAAAATGTGTAGAAATAACGTCCTTCATAAATAATCAATAATATCAATCAGATTGATTGATATGACAACTTCGGCAAAGAACGAAAAACGACGTTGTTGCCTTTTCTAAAGACACTCCAAGTATTTTTCGTCGACAAAATGGGGAATCGAACAAGTAGGCAATCGCTTCTTCGCATGTCAAAATCACACCCGTCTTTGTTCGAAAATAAAGAAAATGTCACGTTAATTTGGTTAGATAAAACTATAGATACAACACGAACTACACTACGAGAAATTACTGATTATGTTCTATTATACACTGAACTTGAACCGTGTTTAACATGTATTCGTTCCATAGTCAACGAACGAATTTTACTTATCATTTCGGATAATTACGCTGAATTATGTCTCGATAAAATTCATGATTTACCACAAGTTCATTCGGTGTTTGTATTTTGCATGAAAGTATCTCAATACAAGCAGAGACTCTTCGATTGGAATCGTTACTCGAAAATTATCGATGTTTTTGATAATGAAGATCTATTAATCAATTCAATCCGACTGGAATTAAATGATTTACAAAGGCATTTACTTACATTCAGTTTCTACGATAGGCAGAGATCAGTAAAGGATCTTTCGAGAGATTCAGCATCGTTTCTCTGGTTTCAATTATTCAAAGATGTTCTCTTTGAAATTCCAAGTTCTGAACAAACAAAAGATGAACTTATCGATCAATGTTCACAATACTATCAGGGAAACTCGGAAGTTGTGGAAAATATTGAAGCATTTATTGAAAAGTACACGGAACAGAACGCGGTGGAGTGGTATAGAAAGAAGACTTTCATCAGTCGGCTGTGTAAAAAAGCCTTTCGTGTAAAAGATATCGAGATTTTATTTCTCTTTCGTAATTATTTACAAGATTTATGTCGACAAATCGACAAAGAACATGATTATTTAATAACACGAGAACTCGACCATCCTACATTGATATTCTATCGCGGAATTCAATTAAATGAAGATGTGATCATTCGTTTTCAATCGCATATTGGTTCGTTGGTGACAACGAATGGATTTCTATTTAGTACACGTCATTACAATACCGCATTGCAATCTGCATTGAAGACAACGAAACATTCGCCGGAGATCTCGCCAGTTTTGTTCATTATTCAAACGAACATTCATCATGACCATATTACATTCGTGGATACTTCATCGCCATCGACGGGTATTAAATGTGATGAAGACGACGATGGAGGAGAAGAAGGAGGAGAGATTCTATTCGGTTTAGGTTGTGCATTTAAAATAAATGAAGTCTATTTCGATAAAAATCGAAATGTTTGGATAGTTAATATCAGTTCCAGTAATGAAGCACGAAGTATTGTGGAAAGTTACATGGAAGAGACACAATATGAAGTTGAAAAAGGCAATCCACTGCTTCTGTTCGGTTCTCTTCTAACAGAAATGAGACAATATCATCAGTCACAAATCTATTGGAATATGTTACTTTCTTCGAATATAATCGAAGATCAAACCCCACTATTAACCAACACTGGCCGAGTGAAGTACCATCAAGGTTTATATGATGAAGCACTACGGGATTTCCAAACAGTTTATGATCTTCAACATGATGAAAAGCCGATCAATCATCGAATATTGGGAGAGACTATGCATTTCCTTGGATTGATTTATTCCGAACAGAAAAATTATGATTTAGCACTCGATTATTTCTTCGACGTTTTCAAAATTCACAAACAACACACGGAACTATCCGATCTTCTCCTAGCAAACACGAACAATGCCATAGGCATTGTTTTCACTCACAAACATGACTACGATCAAGCCTTAAAGTACTTACTTCGTGCTATGAAGCTTTACGAAATGTATTTCTCCACCAAAGATCATTCAGCTATAGCTGCGAACTACAATGGCATTGGCTTAGCCTTTTATTATACGAAACAACACGAACAAGCATTGGAATATTGTCTCGAAGCATTACATATCCGCGAAGAAGTTTTACCCGGAAATCATTCACATATTGCCGATAGTTGTAACAACGTTGCATTGATTTATCATCATCTGTTTGAATTTGATCAAGCATATCAATTATTTCAACGTGCATTAAAAATCTACGAGAATGATATAGCTCACAAGATGCGCATACCGATTTGTTTAAATAACATTGGTTTACTTCATTTAGATCAATCGAAATACGAACAAGCGATTGAATACTATTTACAAGCCTTAGAATTTTACAAGCAAGAAGATGATGACGAGAAATTTCATGAAGAAATTTGTTTTACATTGGATAATTTAGGTATTGCCTATGAAATGAAATCTGATTATGATAATGCTTTGAAATATTATCAATGTGCATATGAGAAAGAAGAGGAAGATTCGTCTAAATCAATTCGAATTCTCATCCGAATCGGAAATATTTATCACAAAAAAGGCGACAATGAGCAGGCATTAGTCTGCTATCAGAACGCTTTAGATAAGAGTGAAAATTGCCCATCCGATCTGGTCGCCTCGGTGTTAATGTCCATGGGTATTATTTATCATCGACAAAAACGTTATGAACTAGCACTTGATACATACAAACGTGTGATCGCACTTCAGAAACATCTATCATCAAATCATGAATTAGATTTAGCTTGGACATACAATAATCTCGGCTGCCTCTATGATGACATGGGCGATATGAAACGAGCACTGCGGTATCAACAAAGAGCATATGATATTCGAAGAAAATTCCTGCAATCGACTCATCCTGATCTAGCTATTAGTTTGAATAATCTCGGACGTATTCATCAAGCGCTCTCGCATCTTGCAGGCGGAGATCCACTCGAAGCGGAACAAGCATTACAAAATTACAAAGCTGCTCTTCATATTCGGCGAAAATCTCTGGCAAATGATCATCCTGATTTAGCAATATCGTATTACAATCTTGCTCTCGTGCATGTCGATCAACAAGAATACGAACAAGCGTACAGTGAAATTCAAAAGGCATTGAATATTCAAAGGAAGAGATTACCAAATCATCATCCCGATTTAGAACAAACTTTGAAACTTGAAAAACGAATTCGAATCTTGCTTGATTATCGACAAACTCTTGCACGTTATACATAAAAGAACAAAAAAAAACCAGATATTCATACGTTTCTTGTTGATTAGTGACTGAAACACCTATGGAGAATGTTATAAACACTTGTATGTCATCAGTCGAATCTAATTAGATGAAAAAGACCTATTTGGCAAGGAAACGAAGAAGTCCTTCCGGACGCTTTTGTCATCACATTGCACGAATATCCGGTTCGGCTTTCTAAGGCAACTCCTGCAGACAGATTAGAGGCGAAATTAAGTCATTCTTGAATAGACTTATTTTACTCGTTCGCCTCTATTTTTGATTGATTTTCTGAAAGAAAACTACCTTGAGTGTCAATGATCTTCTCTAGCTCTATTTTCGACTTGTAACACGACAATGGTATTGTTTCGAATGTCAATCAAAAACCAATGAAGGTTCTCGTCAATGAAATAAAGACAGAAGAGTTCGAATAGATCTCCTGTTTTCTAATCTACATAAAAAATGATGAAGAAAGAAGCAATAGAGTCATGAAGTATATTTTTTATTTGATTTGATAGATGATCAATACAATCGTGTACTGCCCTGTAGCGAAAAGATTAATGCACAAAAGATTGAATATGATATGAAAAATTTGTCTCGACAAAATGTTCTAATTATACATCTTGTCATCAAAATGCTCTAGTCGTTCAATTGACCAACTTATCTATCGTTAGCTTGCCGTTGAGAATGTCACTCTTTCATTTTTCTTACGTTCGATCGTCGTTAAACATATGTTCTTTCTTCTTTCTCTCTTCTAAGTAACTGATAGAAGACATGAAATAAATCAAACATTGAATCTTTTTGAAAATATCCTTTTACAAACGACCTCATTAATTTTGTTGTAGTTTCGAATTTACTGATTATAATTGCATTTTACAAGGCAAGAGTGCTTGTCGGGGATTGTCCCAAATGAATTGGAGAGTATGCTAACATGTAAACGCGTTAAGCAAATGATGAAAAACATTTCTGTTTTTTTTTTCTGTCTGTAATCAATTTTTAGAATGACATCCTATTCGATGAATGAACATCACAGACAAACGACGTACTTGAATAAACTAACAAAAGAAAAAACACTTCGACAACAAACGAGTTAGATTCGTATCGTTCTTTTTTTGCATGAAAGAAGAAAAAGAAAGAACTAGAGTTTTATTAGATGAGTATGTTCGCATCCTCGGAAAAAAAACATTTTTCCACTCGTCGGCTTTTCTTCGTGTTGCTACTGTAGACATCGATGTTCTATGATTATTTTGTTTCAACAACAACAACAACAACAGTAGCTATAATAATAGTATAGATAATATAGAAAAGGCGGAAAAGAGAGAGAGAGAGAGAGAAAGATGAACGTATGGGGTGAAAAAAGAGGAAGACCTGGTGACTATAGATTCTAACTGAAGTGAAAAACATCAGAAGGTTCTCTCTTCCCTCTGCGTTTTCGAAATATCAGAAGAAATCATGTTGATCTGGTACTTTATTGCATTAACCGGTATGTGATTATTTGATAATCAAGTCTTTTCTTCTCATTGACTCATAGGATGCTGCTGTATACATCTTTCGTACGGACAAGATCCAGCTCCTGCGCTGAGTGATCGCGAATCACGCTACAGTGGTATCGCGCAAGTTCCTGGAGTCGTTCCAGATAGTTCAGTAGCTGATATTGTAGACAATCAGATTACTATAGCTGAAAATGGAGTAGTTACTATAACAAACATTCTATCAACAACCGAAGTCATCGCTACAACTCTAGTACCACAGCCATTTTCTTGTTTTCAGTGTACAGACTGTCACAATAAACCTGATTTGACAACTGCTGTCTGCGAAGCAGACATAAAGATGTGCTACGTAAAACCCTCTTGATTAGTTTAATACTGCGTAAACGATGTCTCCTTTTTATCTATAGAGTATGACGAAACTTGTGAACAATATTAGTCAAATAATACGTCGTGGTTGTTCAACTTCGAAAGATCATTGCATCGTATCAACGGATGATGAAACGAATGTGTTTGAAAGTGTCACATGTTGCAAAAGTCATAAATGTAATGAAGCAACTCAATATTTACCAATGTTCTTTCTCTGCATATTAAGTCTATTCATTATTATAGTTAATAACATTCTTCATATCTAAGAAGAAAAATCTTTCTTTTCTTTCGCAGACTAATAGCATAGAACTTCTTCACTCGATGTATTATCTATCTTGTCAAACATATATCTCTAGTGTAGATTCGATCGCATACAATCGAATAATGTTCCATAGTTTTAGCTGCTTATTGTCTAACAATAATAATAATAATAATAAAAGAATGATGTTCATAGTCGATTGGGATCTTTTTTCTCTTGCGAACGATCGTTCATCAGTGTACATTCTGCATAGACTGCAGATAGAATGTTCACCACTTGACGTATTCATGCTTGATTAGAACAGTTTCCGGTGTACGTACGGTTCGATACGGATGATGAGTGAAGCGAACAAATAATGAGCAATGAACATATCTCTCCGTTCTGTTCGAGTCAATAAATAAATCAGAGACAGTAACATGATAAGATTTGGTCAAGGATTTATGCAAACCATTGACAATTATTATGGTATTAATGTTAAAAAAAAGGACCTGAACGAATGAACGAACGACGCGATAACCTTGTAAAGGTAGTGTACAATTCTGATGAACGAAGAACAGTTTATCTACCTGTATTACAAAGAAGAAAACTTGCCGTCTTCGATTCTCAACTGAACATTGAGCACTAAAGCAAATTTGTTCATAGCGCAAAAATATTGTAAAGATCGCATCTCTTCTCTTTTTCATTTGCTTCACTGGGTTACGTCTCATTGATTCTTTTCTTTCTCTCTTTGCTTCACATGAATACAGGACATATGTACAAAATGCACAACCGTGAAATACAATCGTGTACAATATCACAGGTCGATTACATGAAGTATGAAGAGGAAAAAGACGAGGAGAAAAAATCCGTGCGAAAAAAACGAAAGAAACCGCTCGTAATACATCGCATGTGACCAGTCAAAATAATATGTAACATAGGAGAGAAACGTTTCGCAAGTATCTTGTACATTGGAATATCAAAGCACATGAATTCAATTCGCAAACGTCCACGTGATTCATATGATCAAACGGATCTACAGAGTCATACAGCTCGTTTAACAGACCGAATAAATAAACATCAATTACATAATTACGGTTCGGCTATTGATGTTTATGATGCGGTTGCTCGAACATTACTACCTTATTGGGAGTACAACGAACGGTATAAAATCAAAATTTCCAAACAATTACGATTGGAGAATTCGGGCATCACTAATGTTGCACATCACGTTCGTGCACAATTACAAACCCTGCACAACGAAGAAAAAAGTTCCAATGTAAACATTTGTAGTATTGATTTAACGAATGGTGCGGCGTCAGTTTATATAGAAAATTGTAGTCATGGACGAACATTGCAGATTTTAGCGAATCTTCTCGGAATTGAAATACGTTTAGTAACCTCGTATGTCTACGAAGAAGTTATTTCAATTATTCCAGCTGATTTACTTGAAGTTCAGCCATTGTATATCGCATTTAATGATGTTTCAAAGCAATTTTACATGCTCGATAAACCAGGTAGAATCTACTTAACAAGATTCTTTATTTTCAATGAATAACGCATCTTTTCTTTTTTTAATTTAGCAAATGTAAAACGCGATGATTTATTACAGCATCAACAAACACTCGATCACCTCATCCAAAAATACAATTTAATTCCTACTGTCCTTCCTCCGACCAATGGCCGTTGTCTATCGCTGTTCTTATGCATTGCACAGATATTTAAATCCAGTACAGCTGATTTCCTCGATACAACAGCATTAGCAAATCAAATCCGCGATGCTACTCACCAACAACTTACGTCGAATTTTGATCTCTATCAATCCTACATTCTTCCATCTTTATCTACGAAGTCCAATGAAGTCGACATTCGTCGTGATAGTGAATATCTTGTAGAATCGAATTATTATCGTTGTCAAATGGAACGACCTATTTTACATGCACTTGCTCATGTACTTCAATGCAATCTGGTGATATTTTCGTCGACATCGTTGCAACAAGCACCGGAAATGATCGATGCGGAAGTGAATCATCGACCTAATGGTAATGATCAAGTAATTGTTCTGATGAAAAATGAATCTACACAAAGATTTTCAAGTGCTCGAACAACATGTAATTAAGACAGAAATGAAATCGATATACGACATATATAATTTGTTTTTTTAGATCCATTAAGTCATTTATTCATGCGCAAAGATGCTCCTGAAAATCAGACGGACGCTATCTATGAATCGATCGACCATTCACCACTGTTCGACCCAAAGAATAAGTCAACGAACTCGTCGTCATCGTCAGGAAATACTTTTTTTAGTAAAACAAAAGATAAATTCGTCACAGCTGTTAATAAATTGGTAGATAACTATGGTAATTTACCTAAAAAGCAAACATACATGAATACGCCTCAAAGCAAATCAAATAATAGCAATAACAACAATAATCAGAATCATAACGAACAAACCGTACCTGTATCACCTAATGAACAGAAATCATCAAGTACGAAACGTCAAGCACCATTAGCTGAACACATTCTTCGTCGACAAGAAGAAACGCGTCAAAACAATCAACAATCATCGGATCCGAAGTACGAAAATACAACGAATATTCTTCCCACACCGGCTCCCAATCGATCATCAATATCATCGTCAACAACAAATTCAGCCAAAAATTCTGTAATATTTGCTCATTGAGGCGTGTCCTCATGAATATATATGAAGTCGTCATTTTATTTTTTCCTCATTCGATATTTTTCCTTTTAGCAACCTTCATCACCAAACAAACGTCAATTACGTCCTGTTCCTTACAAAGATCGACAAAGAACCTCCGCGAAAATGGGCACATCAAAAACAACGATGAATCAAAATGTTTTCAACGGTGTTACGATCGAAGATGTTGATGAAAGTACAACAGCCGATGAAGCAAATAACGATGATGAATATGATTCATTTAGTGACGAGGCCGGAGGGGGCTTACAAACAGCTATTCTTAAGGAACGAAAGAAAAAAAGCAACTCAGCAGCCTCACCGAACAATGTTAACTTAGGATCAACAGCAAGAAAACTACCGCGAGATTACCAACCGAAGAAGTCAGCACCTTATCGTTTTGATCGTGAGTCATTAAAGCGACAGCAACAAAGTTATGTCACTGCTGATGAAGATCTCTATGAGAATGACCGACAACGAGATGATCTCAACCGTGAAGATGATATCTACCTATCAACATCTGATATTGTTCAACGAGATCGAAAACAATTGCAACTATTCGTCAATGGTCGAACAAATAATAAATCCCATTCATCATCAACTCATCAACATCCACAGCAACATAACCACTTAGAGCGTAAAGGATCAACACCAAAAGCTACATCAACAAGTACGAATGTCAACGATCGTCAATCGTTTCTGATTGATAAAGATGCCGTACTCGAAGTATTAGGCCATAACATCGCTCAACGTGATCGTCACATTCTAATGAAAGTTCTCAAACAGGAAGATCTCGTTTCCAAAGAATGGCAACGTTTGTTATTTCTCTTAGACGAATATGTGAATAATCCGAAAAAAGAAAAGAAAGAACGTGGCTTACATGCATTAACATTGATGGAAAATCTCGATCGACTTGGATATGACATGCTCGAAATACAATCAACTGGTCCAAATCATTTCAAAGCGATTGCTAAATCAATTCTATTAATTATCGAAATAAACGATTGGTTTAGCGATCATATTTGTCGAGTATTACATTTAAATGGGCCCAATGATCCTCGTATGGTACGCCATCTAAGAAAGTTATGCTTGCGAGAATGGTCCAGAAATGCAGATGAGTATCGGACAGTGTTCGCGCAGCATAACAATGCGCAACAGCAGCAGCAGCAACAACAACAACAACAACAGCAACAGCGTGCAACATTGGATTTAACTCGAGAAATTGAACGATTTCGTTCCGATGATTACTACCGTGCTGATATGTGTGCATTAGTCAATCAAGCTCTGGCAACAGGATTGGCCATACCAATCCATGTCGTGCGAGCTGTACGTGAACCAAATAATTCACTAGAAATTTTCGTACCTATGCGTGGTATAGCACGTCCTGGTCTAGCTATTGTACTAATTGCCAGTCATTCAAATGCTGGTGATGGACATTATGATGTCGCCGTACTTAAAGGACACCCTCAGACTTTACGTAAACATCGAAATGTTACATTTGATGATAAACCTGAAGTTCGTTCATTTGAAACAAGTGCCGAAGAACAATCACAAGCAGCTTTGAAAAGTATAGCATTGAATAACAATTCTACGCTACCACCTTCTCAACAGCAACCGCCACTACCACAGCAGCAACAACCGGCAATGTTGAATCCTAATTTAATAGCTGCACATCAAGCTCAATTCTTCGGTAATCCATTCATGTATTCACCATTTACTTTCGCGCCTCCACCGCCACCTCCTTCTCAACCGCAACCACCTCCACAACAGCAGCCTGCTCCAAGTTCACCATCCCTTCATCGCGGTTCCAACAATAACAATATGAACAACAACAATAATCAAACAAAAGCTAATCTCACCGGTAATCCTAATTCAACTACACCTCCAACATCCATGATGTTACAACCACAAATGCCGTTTCTCCAAATGCAACCAGCTCAACCCGCATTTGTATACACACCACTAATCCATACAGCTCAACAGCCAGCACCGACGAATACAGGTGCAACCTTCTTTTATACGCCTGCAAATTATCCCATGTGACTTTTCTAATTTGATATTGAAAGCCAAATATAATTTATGAAAAAATTGAATTTTTTTCTTTTCATGTCAAAATAAAGAAACAAAAAGTTTAGCCGTGAAATTTACAATATATGCTGTCTTATGAAATCCATAGATATTCAAACGTTCTCGAACGATCCACATTCAAGATCGACAAAATAGTCAACAAAAGCATTTGCTCGAGGATCGTCTCCTTGTTAAAGTTATTGAATACAACATAGTCAATTATTTTCTGTCGGAATATTAACTGGAAAATATACAATTGTCTCAATTAAACATAAAGGTGAGACTGTAAACGTACACCACCTGCGATATATGTGTACTCCTAAATATCAATGGTTATTTACAGAAAAATAACAATTAGATGAAAACAAGTCCATTGTCACTTTTAACTGGAATTGTGTTTATATGGAGAAAAGTCATTGACTCCATGTTTGTTATTGGTGATTACAAAATCTTTCTATTCGTTTCTTTCTATAGCATTGCTTCCGAATCAAAATAAACTGTCATTACCCAATCAAAAGAAACTTCTTACGACGCACATGCACATGTCGTGGAGATACTTTGAAAACCGTCAGTATCACTCATCGTAGGAAGAAATTAATAGAATATGAACTTTGTGCCTTCAGATGATTCGTCAAAATATAGCATCGGATTTAGAATCAATGCAAGAACTTCATCTAAAGTACGGTTGGATTCCTGGCGCTGAAAGTATCCGACCAAATGCTGAAATTCGCGAGAAGAAAGAAAATTATATCAAGAATATGTTAACACGTTATGTTAGTCTTCAAGATTTTATTCTACATAAATTCTTCGGTTTGAAACCTACCGTCGAAGGAAATTGGATGAATTCCAAATTACATGTTTCACTAACAGAAATTTCTGCTGCACAAGCAGCTGGATTACAACAACCAAATCATCATCAATTTCGTTTAGTACCAAATCTCTTCTCATATCATGTTCCAGCTGGTACGAATCATTATGTCATTTGGTTTCTCTTGAATGGAAACGAAACTATAGATCCAACGACACATTCTCCATTGAGCTATGATGAAATCACTGCAAGTATTGAAATTGGATTAAAACAATTACTTGGTCCTACCAAAGATCAATTCTCTTTCGTTTGGTATCCCAACCCGAAACCAACGATTATTTCAGATATTCTCTATCATGTGCAAGTCTTTTGGATACCTGAATAATTTTCTATATAATAAACATCATAGATCATTATAAATAGCAAATTTATGTATGAATGCGTAACTCTTAATATATTTAAAAATAGAACCAGTGAAGGACGTTAGTCAAGCGTAACCTACACATGTACAACACACTCGTTGATATCGTAAAGCTACTCTGCTTACTATTCCGCAGATAGTCGATGCAACCGAATTGAACTTTTTCAAAAATTTTATTTAGATTTGTGATCATCATGATTATTTATCTTTTTTCTCCTCCGAGTGATCTTTCTACTGCACTCATGTATGCATTCAATCAACGTCCAGATACATTGACTATGGATGAACCATTCTATGGAATCTGGTTGAAAAATACGAGTAAGAAACAAGCGTTTCATGACGAAGTTATGTTACGAATGGAATGTAACGATGCAAATAAAGTCCACGATCAAATTGAAGAAAGTGAAAGTGTCAAAGGAAACGTTTTCGTTAAAATTACGATGAATACTGTACCATATGTGAATGAAAGTCGTCTATCAAAGTCTCATCATATACTTCTTATTAATGATCCAGCTGAAACGATCGTGTCACATAGTATAAGTGAACCACCGTTAACATCGGCTGATTTGTGTCTAGAAGATCAAATTCGAATCTATGATTGGCTGAAAAGGAATACTCAAGAAGATCCGATTGTTGTGGATAGTAATGAGCTGAAACGAAGTCCAGACTCAGTTTTAAAAAAGATCTGTAATCGATTGAAGTTACCGTATACAAACAAAATGCTATCGTGGCCATCGGGTCCAAAATCAATCGATGGTTTTTGGACTAAATCTGCATACAGTAAAGTACATGCTTCAACTGGATTTCATTCTTTACTGTGGACACAAGTGACACGAGAGAACATTCCAACGAATTTGATGGTACTCTACGATGCAGCTCTGCCTGATTATGAAAAACTTCTATCGAACTGTATTTGAAGAGATAGTTTTTTATAATTGTTTATGAATTGAAATAAATTTCTATTCATTGCACACATGGAACAAATACATAGTTGTATATTAATGTCATTTTCTTTCATATGCGGTCTGTATGTGTCTTATTCAGAAGTTTTGAAATTGTGGAGATCTACAGAATGAAGGAAAAAAATTCTATGCAAACACACACGATTTACGACTGCTAGGAACACAAACGGTGTCTGTTTCTTATCGTCCCCAGTTTTTTTCCAACATGTAACAAAGCGTTATCATATAAATACGTTGTAACGATGTTAAACTTCTTTCCAAGCAGCCAAATCACGGATATCGGTTTGAAGGTAACCAGTTTCGAAAGCTTAACACGAAGTCGTTTTGTGTATTCGAGATTCCTATCCAACAGAGAAAAAAACATAGGTAAAAAACGTACTAATTTTGCTAGCAGAGTGCACTAACATGATAGTTTACTGTCTATACAGTAATCATGGTATTCTAAGATTCTATAAGTAAACGTGACTTTGTTTTCGTTTGTAGGTAAATGATTGTGCATCATCATTCATAAACCTATCAGTGCTTTTAAGAAAATAACTTCAGACATTTACTCAATGGCTTATTCAATCAATCGTTTACCAACATGCGATCCATATTTAACTCTTATAGTCTCATCGACGTCGGACGATTTCACACCACGTCAAGCAGTCGATACATCCGGGCGGTTTGGTATGCTCTACGATGCATCTTGTGATAAAATACTTCACAACTCGACGCTGGATCTTCCAGTGACGTACGCGCAATTATGTGAAAAACCAACATGTCGCGTTAAAAAATACGAAAGACAAATTCAAAATTTGTTAAAATGGCACAAGGTACATGATGAATTACGATTAAGCGTCGCTTTAGAAATAGTTCAAACAGGCAGTGGTGTAGGAGCACTCAACACATATTCACGTGTTATTGACAAATACACGCGCTTTATCGTGTACAAGTATTACAGTCGTACAGATTATTTATCAGATGGTGATTTCGAACGTAGAAATAGAATTCCACCACCACCTGTCGACTCTGATGCGACACATGTGACTGTTCTAGTTAACTGGGGTGTGATTGTGGTTGCCATTCTTCAACTAGTGCCTGACGATAAGAAGATTGCGCGTGTAGATACTATTATCAAAAAATTGTGTCGCAATCTAGAGCAGAACTGCAAACCACCAGAACTAACAGATGATGAGGTGTCTTATCTGGAATCTATCAGTCACACACAAGTTTTCTCCAACATTGAAGACTTGTCTAAAATTAGCTCAATCGTTGAGCTTTATCAAGCTATTCCGAAAATTAAGAGGGATACCGATACTCACCAACCATACAACTACAATTTTTGTAGTCTTGAAAGATTTTTTCCATCGACAATTGTGGGAAGGTTTGTGTTCAGAGAAGTGGAACCGAACTGCAGAGGTAAACTCGAGGATTATCTCATTCGTTTGTCACGCAAATTTCGATTACTCTCGTCAAAAATCAATCAGGACTATCCAAACGTCGATCAAACTCGAAAGTATCAATTGGACAATGCTCGATCCACATACGATGACTTAAAGAAATCGTACGAGTCTTTAATTCACCAACTACAGAACTTAGTAGTTCGAGTTCGTCGAGGGGAACTCAGTTACCACAAGATTGATGAAATGTTATTTGGTAATCAAAACACAGAAGTTAAAACAATGATGGGACTATGTACTTCTTCTCTATATGTGTTAGAAAAAAAAGAAAAGTTTATTAGCAAGCTGGTAGCAAACCAATTCATCTACCGAGATGCAACTGAATTCGGTATTGACCGGAATGACGACAAACAATCAATCGAAAGTAAACTTAAGCTGGATGTTACGAACAAACGAGCGATATGTTCTAATGATGACCTATATCGGCAGCAGGATTCTAAATGGTCTGAATTATACACAAAACTGTATGAAGAACGTGAGCAGAAGCCCTCGTTAAAACTTATCTATGTTGATTTTTCTGATTGCTCATACAAGTTGAAAGAATTTCTCATCTTTCCTGAACAATCCTTGAATAGTACTAATGACCAACCATCAGCATCACGCCGAGAATCAACATCAGAGCGACTCCAATCGAATGGCATAAAAAATATACTTCTCATAGGCGAGTCTGGTGTCGGAAAGTCGACTTTTATCAATGCCCTAGTCAACTATCTCCGATTTGACTCACTTCAGAAAGCTCAAGAGAATCCTGTTGCACTTATGCCAGTATCATTCATTTTAGCAGTTGGTGATGACTTCACAGAACAACTGATTACATTTCGCGGACAGGAAACTATCAGCACCGAAGATTTCAGCGGCGTTGGCCAATCTGTTACTCAATATTGTAAATCATATCTTGTTACTATTCCTGACCACGGAAACAAAGAAAGTACAATACGTATCATAGACACTCCTGGTATTGGAGACGTTCGTGGTGTAGACAAAGACGATGCAAATCTACAACACATCCTATCGTTTATCAGCAATCTGCAGTATCTTGATGCAATCTGCATTCTGATGAAACCGAATATTACACGAATCAATGTGTCCTTTCGTTCATGTTTTATACAGTTGTATACTTTTCTCGGTGAAGATGCGCGTGAAAATATTCTGTTTTGTTTTACAAATACTCGACCGACATTCTATGCACCTGGAGATACAGCACTTGTGTTAAAACAATTATTAGCATCTCTGCCGGGCAAAAAAACACCATTCACCAAGCAGAATACTTTTTGTTTTGATAGCGAGTCGTTTCGCTATCTCATGGCAATACAAAACAATATACAATTCCATCCAGATCAACAGCAAGAGTACAACGAGAGCTGGTCAAGATCAGCCGCCGAGTCAAAGCGTTTACTCAATTATATCAACAATGATATGTTGGCGCCTCTCGTTCCTTCTCATATTCGATCGGTTCACCACGCCCAAATGAAAATCACCCGCGTGATACGTCCGATTCTTGAAACAATACGGAACACTCTTCGAAATATTATCCTACGCTCACATCAACCTAACGAGAAGTCAATTAAACTAGTGCCTGATGCAGTTACAACTAGGACCGCCATTTGCTCATCATGTCGTCATCACACTAACCAAATTTTTCCTATTGGAGAATTTTACATAATCCGTGATAGTTTACATATGTTCTCTAGTAGTTGTCGAACATGTAAATGTTCTCCAGACGAACACTTTCCTGTTGACTACAGCCTTGAGTATGAGCTGAGCTCTGACGGCGGTGAGAACAATCGAGCTCCAACTATGGGTGTTGTGGAAGAGCTTCGCAACATAAGCAGCGAATTGGAATGGTTCCTGGTGCATAGTAACAGCTCCTCTCTAAAGAATCCATTCTTGCGGGGATTCGAGAGAATGATCGAGGAAGAAGCTTACATTTGTTCAAAAAACACACCAAATGATCTCAATACTAAACTTCTAAATGAGCTGGAAAAAGTCAAGAAAATGTTCGAAGAAAAGAAGGACGAATTGATGAAGGAAAACCGGCAGATAATGTTTCCAGAGATCTATAATAAGTTGGAAAGCATTGAAAAAATCGATATGATCCATTTGCAAATGGCTGTTGTGAAGCAACCAGATAAATGAATGCTAACTTTCTATGAATATCAGGCACCATTTTAAAACCGGTCGAGATGCATTCTACATCTTGATTTGCTTTGATTTACTAATAAAAGACATATTTCGATTCGATTGCCTTCTAATGACATACAAAGAATAGAAGAGATAATAGAAAATAAGCTCAGCGAATTTATTTCTCATGTGTAGAAACGGGAAAAAATATGATATAAGTTTAACATGATAAATGCATGCAAACATCAGATAATTATTCATTCACTTCAAGAATACCAGCAATAGATCGCATTGTCCAGAATGCTTCAGTTTCGGAGCATGGTATTGTGATTGTGCTGACCAAGTGTTTCGCTGCTTCGTTCGCACTCACTGCACGTAAAGCTGTTAGATATACAGGACATTCATAGATATTGCTCGAGTCACTCGCTGCTGTATTTTTCTAAAAGAAATATCTCATCGTTGAAATATATCACATGAAATGCAGTAATCATACCGGTACAAGTTGACAAAGAAGCGGTGGTAAACGGTGACTTCGTTGTTGATTAGTACAATCAACGATCGCATGACGTTTCTTATCCCATTGTGCGCCATCCAAATAGATTCCATCGATGATAATGCCATTAGCAATGTCACTCACAGTCTAGAAATGTGTATTACATATAAACGTGTTCATCAAGTCTGGAAGTATGTTTGGGACATACGGTTGATGATTGTAACGTTTCAAGTTCTTCTTCATTATCCAATACTTTGTAATGAAATTTCAATTGATCGATCGGTAATGCAAACAATCGAGCAGAACTCTGTAATATAGCAGAGAAAAGTCCTAAAATAGAATTAACAGAAAATAATCTTGAATTAACCAACGAGATGAAGATTATTCAAAACCTTTCGGATAGTAGAATGCAGCAGTATTGAACATTGTTGGTAAGGGTGATAATGCTTTTTCATCTTCAACAAAAGTTATGACCAGATGAGTCCAATTTTGAAAGAATGTGATTCGTTCAAGTAGATTCATAATCCACGCACGAAGCGCTTTCGTTGATGGATAGGATTTTCTCTAGAATAAAATTATGACAATTCACTTTCGATACAATCATTCGAGGTTTTTGTACAATGAACCATGCATGCAGGTTTATCAGAGAATGAGGATATGTGCATTGTTTGTCAAGAGACAAAATAAAGATATCTTACATAATCTTCATGAACTAAGTCCTGTTTAGTATGTTAGTATTATCTAGTAGAATATGAGATCGACTGTGTACGTACTTGCCAAATCGATGGTAATTCATTCATTAGTAATTTATGTTGAGTTTCTTCTAGAACTTCACTGACAACTATTTCGCCGACCAAAGCTCGACGAAGATCATCACATGTCGAGTAAATTAGCTCGAGTAATTCATTGTAAGCTCGAATTTCTTGCTTGAGTAGTGAAAAGAACACAAAATAAGCACGATATTTATTTCCTAGATTTCAGAGCAAAAAAATCAGAGATTTAACATAGACATGTGAAGACAATTATTTACCTAATTTAGTAGAAATTTTCGTTAATGCCACTTCAAATGTAATGTGACGCGTTCCAGCACCAAAACCAGTTTCAATAGAACGTGGTACTTTCGATGTAATATCATCGATAATAGCCATACATGCTGCATCACCATCCGTTAATGCACTGCAATATACATTTGGATTTACAATTAGTTAAGAAATCTTCTACGCAAAAACATATCTCATACCCAAATGACATCATCATACGATATTGTGGTTCAATGGTTACTAACATATCCACAAATTGATTTGCTTGCACATACATCAATGCTCGATTTGTGTTTGGATGCATACCAAATACGCGTGGGTCATCAAAATCCGGCATTGCATTAATATATGACAGTAGATTAGAAAAATTCAAATCCAAACTTGGAGCTTTGTATGTCTACACGAATATCAATACTAAGTGATTAGGACAGAACTTGTTAATAAAGAAACTCTCACGTTATCTCCTGCATAGGAATAGTTTTCTTTCAAAGTTTCTGGGCAGTAGAATCGTTCAATAATTCTCAACAGTCTACGTCGATCAAATTCATCAGTAACTCGACCACCATAGATGATCGAACCAGCAAGATAACAGAACACATCAAATGATGGTATTTGATTCTTGGAACGACGTACAAGACTTTCTAATTCTAATACAGCTACTTCCAAATCTGATTGATTGAACTCGTAACTTAAATTCCACCCTAATGCACCGAATTTCTTTCGTTCGTGAATAACAGCATGGAAAAAGGCGAGATTGAATACCAAACGACGCCAGTACGGTCCTAATCAATTATGAAACAATGTTCTATAAATGAATTTATTCTTAATTGGTTTACCTAGTGTACTCTTTTCATAGACTTTTTCGTTGACGATACCCGTTGGTCCAAAAGTCTGAAGTAAACTACTCTTCAAACCTCTCGGCCACTCAACAGTCATCTAAATGCACATGTGCATATACGCAAATGAGAAAATAGATGTTGAACAAACGAACTTTAAGACCTAGTTGTAACAGTTCTAAGGGAAAGTTTTTGTCAGGTTTCGAAGAAAGAAATAATCGAAATTGGCTATCAAGTTCGAGGCCAGGTTTATTGAAACTAAACGAAACAGAGAAGTTCCTAAGAGAAAAACAAGAATTCGAATATTACTTATTAACAAGTACGCGTAGTCTTGGCATGAATGATGCACTTAAATGACAATTGTGTAAAAATATCCATCGGCCTTTTAAAGTTAGAGCTTTCGAAAGAACTTCTTCAACTTTCGGCCCTTGACCTTGACCTAACGAGATCACGTCTAAGTGTGCTGCAGTTCCACGTGTTTCTCGTGCAAAACGAATCAGAAGACTAGTCGGATCGGTACCTTAAAAAGAAGAAAGTTTTATTTTTCATTTTCCCTAGAACACTGAACACATACCGGGAGAGAGCAAAAGAATAATGGGCGCTTGCGGCGATGAATGTGTATATATGTCTTGTATATTTGCAAATCCTGACGAGAGAAAGTTGCTGCCCATTTGATCGGTAACATATTGAGAAATCGATGGAAGTAATGTATCAGGTCGTAAAATTTTTATGATTAGTAAACAGCGAAAGTGTGATAAATCATTGAATATTCCGCTTCGAGTTAGATACAGATACGGATGTGAATGTTTAAAGAACTCGGAATCAGTGTCGAGTAGTAAATTTCGACAGACAGGATACAATGATGGTAATTTATCATTAATAAACGAAAGTTTTTCTTCAGTAATATTTGTTACAAGCGGACTCATGAAACAAGTCCATTCGTCTTGTGTGATTACTGAGGCTTTTGTTTCTGGCTCTGGCACTGTTTCAGTTTGTTCCTCATGAATAGTATCTGATGATATAGGATTAGGTGTGTTCTTTTCATTTGCTGCTTCACGTTCGATCGTTGTGGTCAATAGAAACGAAAACAGCAGCTGATGTTCAGCGAACAAACTCCATGAGACAAGTTGATAGAGTGTGTAAGTTAAACGATCCACCATCATACGAAGTGTTGCTGCTCGTTGTTGAGGATTAATTAGTTGCGTGTACTGTTTTGTATTACGTCTCATTCTTGCACTCATCGTTGGTGAAGCAAAATCATGGGATGAATCATCACTAAAACTGATTCGTGGCGATTGAATTGGATTACTGAATATTGAACTTCGTCGTCTTTGTTGTCGCATTAAGCGTTGAGCTACTTCAAGATCCGGCGCAAGATTGGTCATACTCATACGACGTGATGTATCTCGATCTAAGATGCACGAATGAAATGTACGTTGAAACCATGTCAGCGAGAATTGATACATAACATTTAAGCGCGATAAATGGTTGGTAAGGAAATACAATAGTGAGCCACGTTTAGCCAAGGAAACATAACACTGACGTGCGATGTTGATCTGTCGTTCATTAGCTTCATTCTCACGAACACGATTAGCAATTTCGTCACTAGTTATTTTCGAGCGAGTGAGGATATCAATGAGATCATGACGATCAAGGAGATGTTGTTCGGACGATGTTAACATTTCTAATGTTTGATCTTCATATTCACGAAGACTTTTTAAATCTTGTGCCATGGTTTCTAAGATCGATTTTCGTTCGTGTTCTAAATGAGGTTCTTCGTTCAAAACGACCACACTCAACAACTGATGTTCTAAACCATTGGGTGTGATGGTGAAATTAACTAGAATAGAGATATAAGAGATTAGCAAAGAACTTCGTTGTCAGTTTACTTAGAGTAACACGAATGCAAACATCAGGGAGAAAATGTGGATTATTCAGCTGTGTGATGAAATAAACACGGAAATTCGAATTCACTTCGATGTCGACTTCATTAAAACGAATAGTTCCTGTTGCTGAAAATTTCCGGTCGAATAAATCTCGATTCAGTAGTGGCACTAAAGACGATTCAATTGTTTCGCCCATATTTTCAATGATCAATGGTAAACCAAGTCGAATACATTGTTCACAGACACGTAATAAACCTGTGTCATCAGCAGAAATAATCCGAAGATTATTTTCGGTTTCTTTCGTTCGAATCCTACGAAAAACACGCAAACCAGTCGCTAAATTTTGATCGAAAACAAAGTTACCATTGAATCGCTTGCCGCTGTGGATCGATGAGTAGTGGCCATTTAATACAATGTTTGACAAGCACCGCATTTTCACTAGAAAAAATCAATAGATTGATCAAAACGAATAATATTAAATGAATCCACTTACATTGAACACTCATCATCTGGTAATAATTGACTAATCCAATGTCTAATCTCGCTTACTGTTGATAACATAGTTGCTAACGAATAATTCGTTGAGAAATTAATTTGATTTTCTGTTAAAACTTTTTGGAAATCTTGTAAAATCTCATATCGAAACTCGCTATTGAATGGTCCAAAATAATTGATAGCACCCGCAGATAGCAATGCATCTCCAATCAATAAACGTACTTGATTTTCAAGTTGAGTGACCTGCTCCTGCCAGCGGATTTTTTCGATGGCTAATACATTGGTTAATTCATGTGCACAAGACATTCGCTGTTTCATCAATTCACGACGTGCATATAAAGCTTGTTTTTCTTCGACACTGTTATTGTATTTGTTTTCTAGTTCTTTTAAATGATCTCTGACCTTTGTAGAAGGAAAATCAGAACTAAGAATGAATAGTTAATTTAGATTCAGCATACCAGTGTCAGCATTTCTTGTTTTCGTGACAGACTCTTTTGCATTACAGTTAACGCTTCGTTCGCTGTTTTAACTTTTTCTTCTTTGGGTTTCACTGTTCGATACACTTCGTAGTATCGTTGAATAGCCAAAACCCATTTACAGAATGATCGGCAAGCTGATGAAACTTTACCGATCACATCTGGTGTAAATTCCGGATTACGTGAATATTGTAAAAGTTTTCGATACGTTCGATCGGATATATTGTTAATATCAAGATTTGTTAAACGACTGATAAAACCTGAATCGCCAAGCACTTGTCGTGCCGTTGCCCAATCTGATTTACATTCTAATAGGACACAAACAGCGCACATAACCATCATGACTTGATACGGCGGACTTTGATAGACTCGAACTTCTGCTACGTCGGCTTTGTCAAGTTGAGATACATCCGCCATGGCTTCTTCGAGAACAGGTTTAACACTTTGTAGATCGAGTTCAGCAAGACCTGCATAACGTTCGACCATATCGGTATCTTCACGAACTTTTTTTTCTTCGACTTCAACAATGTCTTTCACTTCTATGACAGCAGTCTGGTCTTTCTGTAATCGACTCAATAGTTGTTCAATTTCCTTTGAACGAAACAAAGCAAGCTGCCAGCTTTCAAATATCATTTTTGTTCACTAACCTTTTCTTTCGCATCGATCTGCGGTCCAAGTAAAGCCAATTCATCACGCATAACGCCAACACTTGCATTTGCATCTGATAACTTCGCCAGACCTGTCGACAATCGATTATAATTCGTCTAAACGAAAGAATAGAGATACTCTCTGTAATTCGATAAGAAGTTTAGTCATACGAGAAATTCTTGCTTAGTTCGTGCCATTGTTCTATCAAACGCTTTCATCAAATCCATATACGATGATGGCGTTAGATAGTAATGTCGTTTATGCGCAGCAAGGAATCGTTTAGCAGCTTCAATAACGATCTTATGCATCGCGACACAACAGAGTGCTATTTGATGATGAAGTTCTCTTTCATTGAGTGTATCACGATCAGATGGTAAAATTCTAAAAACAAAGCATTTTGCTTTCAAATTGTGCAAGTTTATCTTTTGACAGATTTTACTTTAGATCGACACCTTCGAGAAAAACATCCGCCACCTGTACCATTGACATTTCACTCCATTCGGTAAACCAATCAATACTTGTACAGTTGAGCAGAGCAGGATGCAACCGACAGATTTCACGGAATTTATTACCAGCAGGAGAAAACGAAAGAATCACATGTAGATTCGTTCGAACACGCTAAGTATGAGTGTAGAAATAACAATTAACTTTTGTTTAAGAACATAAATTAATGTTACTTGATAGAAAAATTCACGAAGTTGACCGGGTGTATCACTCATATTCGATATATAAGCTTCATTTTTCAGATCCATTGCCAAAGCATTGAATTCATCCGGCTCAAACAGATCAACCACAGTACCAGAATTCAGAATACTCTCAATGTCTTCAATAAAACTATCCTGAAAACGAAAACTATATTCATGAATATGATACAGAAAATTTGACTTACGAAAAGTAAATCTTTTTCTTGTATAAACAACGCCATTGGTCGATTTTGAACTGTAACAGCTTTAAATACCTAACATACACATCATTACTTCACAGCACATGTTCTCTTTAGATTATCCTATACTCACAATCTTCAAGTCATCACGAAAGTCTTGATATGCATAACCGCGTTTGATATTCAATTGAAACATCGAATGACCGCAAACTAACGCACTCAATTCTAAGCACGTTTTTCGACCTGTTCCATCGAGACCAATCAATAGAAGATGACCGCCCGGTTGTTGGATAACTCGACAGATTCGCAATACATGTTCGACAGCTTCTTTAAAGAAAACCATTTTCAATGTTGATTGCCCACTCAATGATTGTTTCATCTGATAATCCAAAAATACTGGACAACATTGTCGCCAATCGTTCAATTGTTGATAAAGACGATCATCAGATTTGAGAAAATTGCAAAACAAGATGGGATTTTCGGAATAATTTGAAACATTCAATGAAACTTTGAAATAACTGTTCGTTGTAGCATTCAAGTGCTTATAAAATATCTCCAGATCACTTTCCGTCACTAATCGATCAGCAAAAACACGCAGACATTCGTGAGCAAACAAAACCGCTAAGCGCTCCTGGTTTGTCGTTGTCAAAGTCGATGCTTGCATTAAACCTTGCGCAAGTTTAGCTAAATCTCGAAGATTAAATATATAATGAACTTTCGATGGCGTTGGAAGAATATTAATCGATACGCGATAGTACATAACAAGACAAGCAGAGACAAGAAGATAAAGTGATGAACGAACATCAACAGAGAAGTCTAAACTGTTCAAGAATCGACCGAGACGAACACTGTAGATGTGAAAGAGTTGTTTAGCAGCGGGATCAGGCAGAGCAAATATTGCAAAAGATTGAAGTAAACGTTTCGACGGCGCCAATCGACCGGATGAGGGCGAATCACATGCAGCTAGAAATGTTAAATCAGACAGAGGACGTATTTGATTTTTCTTTGCATCAAGTGCCGATCCTAAAAATACGTGAACATACTTTTCTTGTACTATGAATAGACTTCATCATACCTGTTTGAAGAATATATCTTAAGGTTTCCAATGTTGGTTGATCACCGAATTGATCAACTTGAGGAATATTTAAATCATCAATGAATGCTAACAACCATTTGCCTTGTTGACAACCGAGTAGATTTCCTTTCTTCTTCACTAAATTACTTGTGATTTGGTTGACAAGTCTGTTTGGAGTTGTTTGAGCACTCATTTGAATTTTCAATGATTGTAAAGCTGAAAAACAGAAAATACAAAGATTCTTTTTCCTTAACAAGTCCAACTATCTTAATAAACTCAATCGAACAACCAAAGTCATCATTGTTAGTAGAAAATTACAATCTCTTTTCATACTCTTCTCATTTCGTATTATCTATAAACAGTATTAATACGAATGAGAGAAATTCAATCTCAATTCTCCTACTTACTTTTCAATTTCGAACGATGAAGAGCATTTCCTGATCAGGGTAAATTATTACAAGAACAAACGCGAACGTATCATCACTACTTACCATCGCCTTTCGGCGCTTCTGCTGGTACATCATTGCTCTGTGCTAATTTACTTGTTGCTACACCTCGTGTTGCATTATATTCTAATACATCACCAAGAATTGTGCCAGGTCGAATGAAATTTCCATCAGGTAGAGTTAAAGATCGAAGCATCGCTTCAATAAGCAATGTTTTTCCAACACCACTGTTGCCAGTTAGAAGAACGGGAATTTTATGGATAAGTATCGAACTAATGAGGAATGAAAATCGAACAATGTCAACTGTTGGAATTACCAATGATGTTTGTTCGCTTTTGATTAATTGTTCAGTTTTAGGAACAAGTGATTCCCATTCATGGTACACAAATGTATTTAAATCAATCATATAATCGTACACCATTCGTGCATCCGGTGGTAAGTAAACAGAATAGTTAATATTTGCACCGAACAAATCACTAGATTCATCGATTTGTCTATTGAAATATTCAAAGATGAAAGTGCTTACCGAACAAAAGTATCGAATTCTTGAGTTGTTAAATCTCGCTCAGCTTTAATTTGTTCTTTCTGGTTGATAATATTATCATCTTCAAAATTATCTTCTCGCTAAAGGCAAACATGTAGAATTAGTTTCTCGACGTTTAAAAAACAAGTTCATACTTTTAATCCACCGCCGAAACTCCAAACATAGCAGAAGATATAGATACGTATAAGACATTGGCGAATATTTTTCGGATTTTTCTGCAGATAGTATTGTTTTTTATCATTCAGAACATAGATCACCAGTTCATCTCTGGGTAAAGAAAAGTTAAAGATTATTCGGGATGATTTATTTCATACCCTTGTGCATGCTGCTTCAAACCGTAAGGTTTTGGAGGTTCGTCTACAAAAGAATCAAAAAGTTCTTATAATAACACTATAAAGTATGAAAAATGATTGATAAATAATGTGGTATTATATGCGAAAAAAACGAGATTTTGACGGAGAGGAGGTGTATTATTATCTTTGCATTTTGGTAAACTAGATTTTCTTGAATAGACTAGAGGTGGAAAACTAAGACTTTCGAGAGTATCAAACCTTCACTTGACTCTCTAGAAAAATGACTCTTCTTTTGATCTTCAATAAAAGAAATCAATTCAAACACATCGTTTTCATTTGTTAGATAAACAGTTCCTACTTGGTGCAGGTGCTGTTGTCGCACTTCGTCGATCGTCTTCTCCGAATCCACCATATTTGTCGAGATAATTCAAGAATGTTGATAACAAATAGCAGAGTGTTTGCAGAATGTTTAGTTTCGATACAGGCATATGCCATGGATCTTTTAACTGATTGAGAAACGTGAATCCTAGAGAATAGCTTGGATATTGAAGATGTGAACAGTCATTTAAATCTTGACAGACCTTTGTCCAACGAGAATTCCATTAATTCTCGAAGAAACTCTACTGCACTCAGTGGAAATTCTGCTGGTAGTTTACATCGATACCAATAATTCAAAAACGGCGTATAACCAAGATCCGATGGATCGAAATAAACCATTGCACAACGACTGACTGTAGCAGGCGATGAATTCACTAATGAATCAACTTCGAAAAGAATTCGTGTGTGTCCAGACAATCCGATACGTTCGCCATTTGCCAAGCAAAGAATTTTCGAATCATCAAGAAGCTGTCGATAACCACAAAAAGAGTGTGTGAGAATCATGATGGGATGTTATTTACTTACTGTGTTCAAGTTTTCAACCCATAAAGTATCAATCGGACCGTCAAGAACTAACCATTGCCAATGATCAACGTACTGTTGTTCACTCTAAAGAGTTAATATAGTTATATTCGAGGAAATTGATTGAAGTTTTACTTTGTCAGTATTCATGTGAGATTCTTGATTTTTAGCATATGTTCGCATCGTAGTTGCCAACTGAAAATCATTGAATATGAATGAGACTCATCTTAGTACTCAAAAGCAAAGTTTTCTTACCATTCCATCAGTAAATTCTAACGTATCTGGATTGACTGCTCCATATAATTCAGATATTTGCATTGCTTTTGGATTCAGAACAGTTACATCAATAGTAGCCAACCGATTTTGTCGAGCCTATATAGCAGAAAATACTTTCTACCGTTCCGATACTTTGATTTCACTCACTTGTGTTTCATCTTTTATCATGGTTGGTATATAAGTCAATGCTCTTTGAAGAATATTTCGTACTGTAGTTTTTCCACCGCCTGCTCCGCCAACTAACATTGTACCATGTCGAAGGACAATTTGATTGTAAAGTTGCAGAGCTTTGTCTGCTTGTGTTGGCCAATATTCATAATTTAGATCTTTGATGGCACGTTCGATTGCTTGTTGGATTATTTCGTGTTCGTGTAACTTCTTTCCCGCTTGTGGAAAAAGATCGCGAAGAATATCGAGAAAAAGTAATGCATCTTCTTTGAGTAACTTCGGAAGATTCGATTCGACTAATGCTTGTATCATGATGTTTTCCTAGATGACAACGTACAATTGAATGATATTGATCTCATTGGAAAAAATCTATACTTCAGATTGTTCATCGGTTAGATTTGGATCTTTCGTTTGCGATCGTTTGATTTCACCTGCAGTTAATAGAACGGCTTTGATAGCTCGCATACCAAAATCATAGTGATCTTGTTGAGATAATTGACTGTTGGATAAATTATACAGATAAACAATTTTTGTTGCTAAAACTTTGGCAGAAATGAAACCAACGGAAAACAGAATGACTAAACAAATTCAGATAAAGCCAGTGCTCAAAAATGATCCTATGCATTACCTTCACCAATCAAAGCATAATGTGGAATCATCATTGCAATCGGTCGAAACATAGGTTTTAAGTTATCAGGTAATTCAACACGACCAGAATATGTTGGATTCCTGGAAAACATGATAACCATAAGGTCTTTCCAACGTTTCACGAACACTTACATAGTCACAAAAAATCCACAGGATGAATTCAATTTGATTTCGCGGCCATCAAATGAAAATCTATACAGATCAAATGGATAGAAGACTTCTTTCGAACGGAAATATCCAAACGAACCGTAGAGCATGCGAATCTTTAGCTGTTTTAATAGTTAATAACTGTTGAGCAACAACAGACAAAACTTCAACATCAATACGATTGAATCTATGCAGAAAAGTTGGAATTTATCGAGAAAAGACCTCCTCAAAATCAATTACTCATCAAAACAACACCATGAACCTAAGAGGAAAAAGAAACAAAACAAAAGTAGAAGACGTTGTAGAAATAAAGAACATACCAGATTGAACTAATCCACTAAACATTTTCCCAAGAGTCTATCCATACACATATACCATGATACTTATGAAAATATTAGATTTAGTATCTTTACCTTATGATCGAGTTCATCTGAACAATTGAAGACTAAACAAAGTTTTCCAAATGATTTCGCTAAATCTTTCACAGTTTCTGTTTTTCCCGTTCCAGCAGGTCCTTGAAAACATATTTTCCATTTCAAATAACACTCATACAATAAACAATCTTCTCATACCTGATGGTGCACCGCCAAGATTAAGTTTTATTGCACCAGTTAATGTCAAATAACATCTGCAAGAGAATTAATACATGTCTTTCTCATCAAATAAAGCTAGTTCATCTTCTCTATGCATACCGATCAGTTAATGGTGTAACAACCAAGCGACTTGAACATCCTAGATACTCATATCCATAGGGAAATGAAGCATCGCCTTGTAAAATGTGAAAATTCGTTTCTGTATCGCTCCATTCATATCGAAGATGTTTTTGCCATTCAAAATCATTCTTATCTCGAATCTAATTTAGATCATATTGAACATAAATTTTGTCATCAACAGAATTTTCCTCTAAACTTACGTGGTGTTTAATCAACATTTCGAATATATCACGCCAATGTACTTGTAGTGTTAATAGAGCTTCCACAGTCAGCAATTTCGTGTGTTCGATTTGAGCAAAAACAAGTGCGCAGACGTTTTTGATCGTGATCATCATTTGATCGCGGATTTGAAGAAGTGCTTGATCAGCGTTTGTTGATGAAGAATCAAAGGTTTTATTCACTTGTAGTGTGTAGATCACTTGAGATATAGTGAGAACAATCTGACCAGGATGTTTCAGTGTCCATTCGATAAAATCTACATTCTTTATATCTGCTAAGCCAGCCTACAAATCCCAGGGAAGCCAAAATAAATGAAATCAAGTGATCCCTAGAAAAACTACTCACTTTAAGATGTTGTTTTACCGAATCGTACATAGCTAGTTCAACTGCAGTGAGCCATTGCTCGACCACACCTCTTGGTCGAATTGTTTTCGTAAAATTAACGACTTCACCTACGTGAACAAACTCGTTATAAAGATGATGAGAACATAAGTGATTGTTACCTTCAACAGATTGCATACTAGTGACCATCTCTGTGGGTGATTTGACAATACGAAGGTAGAATATATTCGAAAAACATTTTCGAAGGTGTGGCTAAATAAAAGTTATTTAAACCTTTCTTAGAGCATCTTCTATCACTCGAATGAACATACTTGAACACAATTAGCATCATTGGCATGCGAAAGAATATCTAAAAGATCGTCATTACTGAGAAAAAATAAACGCGGAAAAGCCAATCGTTTCGTTTCTAGATATTCCTAAATAAACAAAAAACATATTTTAAGCTTCACTGGAACTGATTTGATCTCTACCTCCAGTGCTCGTTGAATTTTCTCCATCAGAACATTATTTGTTTGCAATGAATCTAATGTTCCTGGATGTGTTGCTGCCTTCAATGCATTCGGTTGTTGTTCTGTTCTTCTCATTAATTCTTTCCATTGTTTATCAACTTGTGTGAAAATTTTCGTCTCCTGAGTGAGCTGAATATCAGGTGTCGAGAAAATCTGTTCCAGATAAAGCCAACGTCGTTGACATGTTATCCATTCATCGATGGTTTTCGCTAATAAAGTCAAACGTTTATCCCATTCATCAACTAATTGTCGAATAGGACTGATATATCTTGATGATTTTATCGTAGCCATTGTTATCTAAATCACATTGATATATCGAATTGATCTTGAGAGAAAAATAAAAACGAATTAATATACTTGACTTTCTTCGAGCTGTTGGAGAATATCTTCATAACCAATGATAATAAACGTGTCTTTACCGGCATGTGGTATTAAACGAAAATCTAATGATCTCCATCTAAACAAAACAGAGTTTCGCTTTCCGTTTGTAACCAATTTCATTTACCTTTCGATAATTTTATTCAACATTGTCTCTAACGCAGCTTCATTGGACGCCAATGACGAAACATCGGTTATTTTATCTATTAATTGTAAAATATCTGGTCGAAGTAACTTATTTAACTTTAGATATTCATCATCAATTATATCTTTGCCGATTAGTACTCTCAACCGATCAAAATGTCGTTTTCTCATGTTTGGATTACGCAAGGCTAAGATAACAGGCATTGCTGCTTTGAACTCCATCACGTGTTCTTTCAATGTTGGAATGATATTATTCGGAGGTAATGCTTTCTCCAAAATGTAAATATTTTGAATAAATTTATTCACTTCTTTCTGTAAAAGATCGATATCAATTGAATCGAGCACTGTGTTCGTCCATTCACGATGAAGTTTTGTCCAATTTTGTTGAGATTCCCATAAAAGCTTGCGGAGATTAATATCCTGTTCGATATCAGTCAATTCATTATAGAGACTATGGAGACTAACAACAGATGTTTGGGAACGAAATTTCGTCGTCATTTGGTAATCACTAAAGCAATTGAATAATGAGTTTTGTCAAAAGAAGATGTTTTGGATTTACCCGAGAATACGTTTCTTAGTTGATTGTTTACTAATCTGATTGAAACGTTCTTGATATGTTGTATAATTCTTTGCTTTTTCGTTCAATCGTGCTAGCGAATCTTGTAGAACTGAAATGATGTCCAGCGCTGTTTGAGGACGGGTATCGCTTGTTAACAAAGTTGGATCTTTCGATCGATTTTTTAGTTCAACAGTTTGATTATACAAACGACTAATCATATCATCTAATTCAATAGTAAATTTTTGAATGTTTTCATCGCATTGAGCTTCCGTATAAAGTAAACTCGACTAGAACGAAGTTTTCTTCGAATGGTTTTGAACAAAATTAAAGAATTACTTTTAATTGATGATAAATCGGTGCTAAAGAACGATATAATGAGTAATCTTCAGGTGCAATTTTGATTGCAAAATCTTTAATAATGTGAAACATTTTTGAGATTATTTGAAATTCATTTTCCAGATTTCCTAAGTCACTATTCACTTTATTTAATGTTGCTAAATGTTGAACAAATTCTTCGACAGATCGTGGATCGCGATCCAGTTGTTTCAAAACATCCTAAACGAGTTTTAGTTTATTCAAAACGAACGATATTATTTTCGAACAACATACTCGAATCGTTCGTTGCATTCGTTCATTCTTTTCAACTGCAACCGGTGGTAAATATTCTCCAATAGCAGCAATGACCCGTTTCGGATATGGGATCGAATCATCATGGAGATGTTGGGCTTTGAGTAGAATAAGTCCAACACGTTGCTCAACAATCATTTGTTGCATTTTTTGTAATTGTTGTGTATGTTTTGTCATTAAGAAATGTATATCTTCGGTATTCAGTTCTTGATTTTTTAGTTTCTCTTCGATATGTAATTGTTTACAACTTAGAACCATATCGCAGTATTTTTGATATCGCTAAAAGAGAAGAAGAGGATATGAAACAGAATTCTCTTCAGATCTGTTCATCGCATACTCGAATAAAACTCTGAACGTTCACTAACGATTGATTGATCGTACTTAATGCATCAACAATGATTTCTTGATGATCAACATCATCACCAAATAGGAAATCAACATCTGGCCAACGAGTTTTCGAAACATGAATTGGTATTCGAGCTTGAGAATTAGTGGATTCAAAATTAGGAAATGTACAAAATAAATGTAAGGTTGGGTGATCACGAAGGCTCGGTATTTGACCTTAAATCAAATCAAATCAAATCATAGATTAATTTTGTTCGAGCAAGAAAATTCAGAGTTGTTTTTTTTTACCAACGAATACTTCTAATCCGCTGACGATGTCTCGCATGGTATTTTTGAACTCGTATTCATTGGGACTGATTTCATAGGTTACTCGATCTCTACTTTCCGAGAAACTTCCAGAAGACGAATCATCTTCCAGATCATGCGTATGTTGTTTTGGTACTTGATAAAATTTTAACAGGAGATTCACTTCAAACATTGGCGGAGGAACTTTATTCGTACCAGTACGAATCTATAAATATAGAAGAAACTAATCTTTGATCAACTGTACAATAATAAATGCATACGCGAGGTAAATCAAGCATATCATCCGGTTCTACAACTGCATATAAATCATCTTGATCAAGATTTTCACTTTTTAAAACGCCACGTCGTTCATATCTTTCTCTAATTGACGAATTAAAATGAGAGAATGTCGGATAGATCAGTTTGTTTACTTTCGAAATTTCTACTTACGCCTCTGAATCAACATTGGTACGAGATGTTGCTTGTGATTCTGGTCGAAGCGCTTGTTTAGCTCGAAGACCTCGAGCAGAGGACGCAGATTTTTCGCGTATTAAGTGAAATCGGTCATCTGTATCATCATCATTTTGTTGTGTTGAGTCAGCGATTTTAAATTCCACGGCAAACGATTCACGTAAATGAATGAACAAATCTCGTACACATGATTTGACCAGACGACGAAGAAATTCCAAAACGACATAATCAACTAAGCGTAGAAATTCCGATAAGCGAATTAATATATCACGCCAACGTTTTCGTTCAGCAAAACTTGGACCATATTCTAAGATATCAAAGAATCTCTTTAACAAATGCTGACAAGTCTTTCTGTTCGGTTTTTACTTGGGTTGGGTTTGATTTTGATAGTTGCGTCGTTTACAATCGTTGCTCGTGCTTCTTGTGCTTCAAGATATGATTGTGTGATTCGTTTCAGTTCGTCTTCATCGTCCGCGTGTCGATAGAGACTTGGATCGAGTAAAGCGTCGACAGGTATTCCTTCCAACTCGACGGCTTTCTAGACAATAGAAGCACATTTTCGTTCGAGGAAGAAATTATCTCAGACACTTACTTGACAAGCATTCGCTGCGAGTACAGCTATTTGATCGATCAGTTCGTGTAATTTTATTGTTGTCACATTCATTTGTGCAAATTGACGTCGACTAAATTCTTGCAGGGTTAGTGTTTCTTGATATGCAGAACGATCGAGTAAACACAACGGCTTGATACGATCTGTTTCACCGTAATAGTAAGCTTCGCACATAGCTTTGACATGAATGAGAACACCTTGAAAGATTTCGTTTGCATAAAAAAGTTTCCGGTTATGAAATGAACTAAATAAATATGGATAAGTAAGATCGGCCTGTTTTGGTTAGAGAATTACATTGTCCGCCGACGTTTTTCAAGTTGAACATTCGACCACCAACAATGAAACGTTCGCCATTTCCTTCAATGAAATGAAATCAAGCCAAATGAAGTCCTTTCAAAGATTAAAACCTCCACAAACCGAAAGTTTGAGAAACATGATAACTGAGTAGTTAAATAATTATATCGATATCGTTCCCATAACCAAACCAGAGCTGGAGTGGTTTGCGTCTGAGAAGAATCTACTCGATCCACCTATATATATATATATATCGGAAACAATTCAGTTCATTTATTCGTGATGTCTTACATAAGTAACGTTAAAAGCAGATACGGTCCAAAAGAAAGGTAAAGAAATCACTGCAAGTTCGTCTGATTGAATTTCTAACTCATATGGATTATAAGGTGCATAATGTTTATCTCGACCAGCTAATAAACAATAATAAAAGATTCCATTTCTTTCCGTATGTGGAGACTAAACGATAAGAGATTAAAGATATTTTCTTCTGTTCATTCAATAGTTCTGATGAGATTACTTGTTCATTTTTGGAATCAGTAAGATATTCTTCGAGCGCTCGTTTTCCTCCAGGACCATGAAGAGGTATTTGGATTGGAAGGCCAAGTTTTCTACGAAGTCGGATTAACTGATAGGCAGCATCACGTGTATTATGTTCTGCTTCAAATTTCAACCAAACAATAGGCTCTACTGTATTACGCTCTGATGATGTCGATGCTTTCATTGGTTTCTCTTCCTGTTCTATTCTTCCACCGAGCTTTCTTGATGTTAACTGTTCGCGTTGCCATCGTTCTAACCTAAAATCAGTGCCATTTCAAAATTCTGTATCTCATATGATCATCAACTTACGATCTAAGATGCATAGGCAATTCCATACGAGGTTCCTGACGTGCTAAAACACGAGATAAATGCTTGTCGGTAACCAGACATGGTAATGATCCGTTCGCCTACAATGAAGAGTATCACGTAATTAGCATGAGCATTCAAACGGAAACTTACATCTTGTGCTACGTATTCAGCGTATGCTTTGGCATCACAAGTTTTGAATTCACCTTGATTAGATTCACGAAATTCGTTGAGTTTTTTAGGGATAACGGAGGTGTCCAGCATTTTGCGTTTTGTTGTGGACATTTTGTACTCGGATTAGTTAGATATAACGAATAAGTTTGAGAAAAGCGCACGTTGAAAGCTTTGCCATTTACACTTGATTGAAAAACAACGTCGCTTAGCGATGTTCTGTATTGTAAACCTGAGAGGTCGCTGATTGATTTTTCGGAAGGAAAGAAAAAAATTATATGAAGGTGATAATGAATAATGATGCACAAGAGTCGAATATTGAATGAATCATGTAATCTATCAAATGATGAGCCCTGTTTTCAGAGAACTTCTTCGAACTGCTTGAAATGACTTTCGTTATCAATAAGATAGAGCAAGACACTTACGAGATTTCATGAAGGTATAAAGATGTTTAATATAAAACTTCTCTTATCTTCAATTGTTCACACTCTCAATGATTTGATTATCAAAATCTTCTGTTAGCTTCATGTCTCATCCATAAATAAATGTTTATCTCTTATGACTCCAACAGCCTCGTATCAAAACCTTGCTTCTAGCATACAAGTCATGTAAGAAATAGGTTCTCCGAACTGAAATATCGGCTTCATGAAATAAGAACATCCCAGATATCCAAAGATTGTCCGATCTCGCTCCTCACAAATTGATACTCCTATCAAAATTCGTAAAGTAATCAGAAACTCTCGTTTCTTGTTAATCATCTAACGACCTCTGTATTATTCTTCTTTCAATCATAGAGGCCTGTTGCGTGACAACCTTGATTTTGATGGTAAGAAAAAAGCTGCTTGTTAAAACTAAAACATTCTAACAAGAGTTCACACATCCATCAATTTCCTTTTCGTAGAATTATCATACAACACACATCCGTAAAAAAAACGATGAGCCAAGCAAATTACAGTGACGACAAGCCATACGTTCCTCCAGCAAGATATACTGAAGTGAATCAGAATGGTGATGTTATCTATCAATCGGACTCTGTTCCTGTAGAAATTAGTTCAACTTATTTACAATCCAGAGATACGGTTGCACAGAGAAACGCCGCAACAACTGGTGAGAAAACAAGTGAACATTATCGAACATTTAATATTCCTGGTAAATTCGACAATCCAGGTATGAGGTTATTATTACGATGTTTCATTTAATAACAAATTTCATCTATTAGATTGGTGGCAAGGATATAGTAAGAAAGAACCAAATCCACTCTATCGAACGACAGCTCAAGATTACGGTGCAGAAAAACCTAACATTCATACAATGCCAACTGTTTATCGAACGCAGTCAAGTGCATTCACAGAGGTAGGAGACCATGATCTTACTCCAGTTCATCTCATTCATGATTGTTTTTCTTCTTGCAGCATCTTGGCAAATGTGGTATTTATCGTTACCAAGGTCTCAATACCACTGTTGACAAAGGACGTTATATAGATAAACCCTAATTTTTTCTTTCTTCTTAAAGCGTGTAAAAAAAGTTTATTTTAGGCATAATGGCCAGACGTTTTTGACGAGAGAATATCCTAATAATAAACAATCGAGTATCTGTATTGAATAAACAACAAAGAAAAGTTCAATCGTATTTTTTCTTCTTCTGGCTTAATCAGTGATTTATTTTCAACGTTTGTTGACAATAAATAATGTATGAATGAATTGCATACAAGAATTAAGACATGTGTGAAAGAACGTACACAAACATTCATACGACTATAATCAACAATAATAAGAAAATTAACTCTATATTATCCATAGAATAGAAAAAAGAGAAGAATGAGAGAAACAATTGAATTTTTAAAAAAAAGCAGAAGAAGCAAGGAGAAAAATGCTTAAGTATAGGTAAACTCTTGTTTTTTTTTTTGTTGCTTAGAGTTTTTTTATACACTAGGCTACTAACATGAGGTTAGGAGAAAGAAGTATTTCATATAGATGATTATAATAGTATTAATAATAATGATCATAGCCGCATTTGTATTGAGCGAACAAAAGCGTGACGTGTAGTTCACCGAGATTGATCTATAGACAGAATTTAGGTCGAAATATTGCTACAAAATAGACATTTAGAGATCAGTAAAATGGTACTGTTGTCCTGATCCTTGCGATGATGAAGAATACGGATGATAAGCAACACTAGGTTCATTACGTGGATTGAAGGAAGAGTGCGATTGATAAGACTGATTTCCTGCCGATGGGGCTTGCTGAGTTAGTCGTTGACGCAACTGATCAACGCCATCGCGAGTCATTGGGATTTGCGATTGTTGTTGTTCTTGAGAGTACGACTGATTCCACGGTGAATATTCTTGATTTTTCCATTTTGAAAGAGCATTCGATGATGGAAAAGTAAAGAAGTCGTTCGTTTGTTGTTGCGTCGGAGAGAGTACCGATTGTGAATTAGCTGAAGGTGACCATGGTTGAGAGGCAGTTCGCATATGCGACTCGGCAATACCTGCTAACATTTGTCGATGATACATTTCAAAATATGAATTATTTTCATTTACCTTCGCGAATACTTGGCTCCATGTTTAGATTGGCTGGCTTTCGTGAGTCGCTAGCTGAACGTGGTGTTTGTGGTGCTATATCTACTTATCGAAGATATTGTTCGAGATTCAAATGCGTCGAAAATAACACACATACTTTCAGCATTCCAACTACCAAAACCTTTGGGTTTAGCATTGAAATCGCCGAACCGGGGAACATTTTGTGTCGGTGGAGGTGATAGAATCGATTCAGATACGGAAGATGTTTCCGGTGGTGGAGGATTAAACTTCGGCCGAGTTGGTGTATAACTTGGCCCAGAGTATGTTCCTTCGTCACCAGACCAAGACGCTGGTGCATGTTGCCCCCATGGTTTAGTTGTTTCCTAAGTAAACAAACCAGAAATGTCATTCTCATCGATAGAAACATATACATACGCTAAGATAGGATGGCGTTTGTGGTTTATAGCCGGATTTTTTTACATTATTTTCATCCACTACCCATTTTTCTGAGCGAGCTTTACGTTTTTGAAACAACGCAGCACCTTTGCCACGATTATTCATCAGATCATTAACTATACTCATTGCCGCTTGTGGTGGAACGTTCGTATGTGTCACATGTTCCTTGAAATGAGAAAAGTCAACGTCATTCTGATACAAAATTCATCCGATTTAGTGTACCTGCATGTGTCTTTGTTTGAAATCAGCAGGTGCACCTACGTATCGCAATGGATTCATATATTGAGCTTGATCTAGACTATTTTTGATACAGTCAGGCACATTGGTTGGATCATAACTCGGTGGTTGATGATTGGAGAATGATGAATGATTAGATTGGATTGGATTTAATGGTCGAAAATTACTTGTACTGATTGTTGGCGTTGTCGCTTCACCTTCGATAGTGTACTTTTCTGCTCGTTGACGTTGTTTTTCAAATTTAGTNTACGTATCTCAATGGATTCATATATTGAGCTTGATCTAGACTATTTTTGATACAGTCAGGCACATTGGTTGGATCATAACTCGGTGGTTGATGATTGGAGAATGATGAAGGATTTGTTTGGATTGGATTTAATGGTCGAAAATTACTTGTACTGATTGTTGGCGTTGTCGCTTCACCTTCGATAGTGTACTTTTCTGCTCGTTGACGTTGTTTTTCAAATTTAGTGGCACCTTTTTGTGTTGGATCGCCTCCCTCGAGTATGGAAGCAATTTTGCGTGCCATTTTCTTCTGTTCTTCTATAGTTGGATAAGTATTGAATGGAGTACTGAAGAAACTTGAGTCAGCATAACGTTTCTCTATACGAATCAGGAAAATACGTATTCGATTCGCTTTCGTTTTTTGAAATAGTCTACTCACTATTAGCAATAGGTGATTTGAGCAATTCAGCACCAATTTCATGATCGATACTCGCTAAAAATTGATATGAAATGTTTACGATAGGCATAGTTACTGAGAGAAATAGTTACTATCGGATTTTCGTCGTTGTTCCTGCGCTCTGAGTTGAGCAGCAGCAGCAGCAGCAGCTTGTTGTTGTTCGTATAGTTGTCGTTGTAATTGCTCTTGCCGCTCTCGTTCACGTTGTTCTCGTTCAAGACGTTGTTGTTGTTCTTGTTGATAACGATAGAGATCAAATGGTGGTTGTTGTGGCCTCGGCGGTTCAGGTGGTACATATTCATCGTAAGCTTTGCTTGTCATTGAACGTATTGGTAAAACAACATTACTAGGCCGACGATTGGGAATCGCTTGACGACTAATTTTCGTGTAACGCGGACCAGGACCAACACATTCCGAATCACTGTGATAGCTTTGATCATTACTTGAAATAATCTTTGTTCTATATTGTGTTGCTGGTGACGATGTGTAGTATGATTGTGGTGGTGGTTGTGGTTGTGTAGTACCAACACGGCGGATATTTGAATTTGATCCGGATCCGACCATTGGACGAAGAGAAATCGACGAACGTTGAACATCGTTTGTATCCGAAATATAGCCACTTGACATCGTGTTCATATTGTAATTACGTGGTGTATCGTATGTACTGTAAGATGGTGGCGGTGGTGGACGATAATTGAATGGCTGTCCTCGATTTGAATTCGATGACATTGGTGTATTTGAAGTCATGGCTGCAGTACGAAAGATTGCTGGTAATGGATTAGGTATCGAACGTCCATAGGAATCCATATAACGTGGATCTCGATGATTATCGATTTGATTAAAACCTGATGCTGATGTGTAGGATGGATACGAGGGTGGCATACGTGACAAATGATATTGATGATAATCCATTGATGGTGACTGTGCGATATGATTAGGACTATTTTCTTCTATGTGTAAACTAGTGTTTGAACCGAATTGATCAGAACGAAGTAGCGTTGAACTAAATCATAATGGAAAAGAAGAAGTCAGATCAAAGAAAACCAATATTAATATTTACTCTTCTTTGTCAAGAACAAATTGACCCCGGACAGTATTAATTACATCATCTATTTCCCGTAGAGATTGTTTCAATGATGATACACCACGATCAGAATGGAGTGTATCACCTGCTGTAAGACCGTCTAATGTTGTCTTACTTTGTGTGCGAACCTAGAGAAAAGAAATGGTACCTATGTTACATGAGTATGTCAAGGATTATCGCCTGAAATATCGAAACTCTAAGGAACAAACGATAACTCGATTGACATTTGTTGTTCAACTTATAGTTCATCAAAGACAAGATGGATAGCAAAACGCAGGGAATTCATGAATTTTCTTTCAGACAAATGAAAACAATGTATGTTTTTATTAGAGCAGTTGGAGCAATCTGGCCTTAAGACACCCGACACAACAGAAGGTATGTAATATAGAAAGAAGGATAGATAATAGAAACAAGACAAGACAGTGATGAGAGAATATCTTAATGAGAAACCATTTGACCAGTAATAAAAGACAGTTGGTCAAAAGAAAAGAATAACATTCTCGAGTTGTAAGTGTTGATGATCTTTTCTATAGATATGACTAGCGCAATCGGAAAAAAAACACAGAGAATATCTTGTCTGTGTGGCCATAGTGTGACCTATTCTCGCACTCGTTGATAAGTAGGCGAAGGCGAACTAATTTTTCTTTTTTTTCTCTTATTTTTCCATGTGTACGTGTATGCGAGTGTACAAGCAAGCCTCGATAATATTTTCGTCGAAGGGAAAAATATTGTTTCTACTGACTTCCTGTATCAATCATGGAAAATAGTAGAAAAGTAGTCAAGATATAATGACAACAGAGAATCACAATCCCCATGTTTGCTTCTGTTCTTTGGCATGCTTCTTTTCATCTATGCTTTATTTTCTACAGAGTAAATGCTCTAATGATTGAATGAAGACAGACGAGAAAGAGAGAAGCATCCATTTAGGATTATCATCGACCAGTTGCCCATTATTGCCTGACAACGGTTATGCATCTTTTTGTTCTGTAACGACCAGATGTACATTAATAATATACATAGGAATCTCCTCTTCTCCTCTTTCTTCTACATGAAAAAGCATACATATATAAATAAGCAAAACAGAAAAACTCTAAAAGGATTCTATCAAGCAAACATGATATGATGGAGAAAAAGAATAGGATCCGATAGATTTCTTGCTTGTTCCTCTCGTTCTGTGTAACGTACTTATTCTTCGTTAATATTAGATTGGCATGATAACTAATAGATGAATCGAGTTGACCTGAATGTATTCTCATCATTGAGAGTAAAGTGAAAACAGCTTGATAAAGTCTATGTCAATCAAGGAGAACTAGTGACGAAGAGTTCGATATATGTATATATATATATATTTCTTTTTCCTCCTAATTAATCTATTCAAGTTTATTATCTTGCTTTTTAGTTTTCTTTTTCTTGACAACGAAATCATAACAGAATATGCTAATTTGTTCTTGGTCATTAATCAACAATACTGTCAAGAGACAAGGTTACGTCTTTTTCTGTTGTTGTTATTGTTCATACCACTTACCGTTTACCGGAGAATTCTTCGTGCTTGTGTTGCGCAGAAATTAAGAAGATATTAATCTTTTGATCCTTCTTTACTTTTGCTTAACCGTACTGACAAAGAAAATGCGTTTTGAGAAGAAGAATACTCAAATTGTATTACCCAGGTTGGTACAAGTTGGTGATACACATACACAGTTGCACACAAGCACGACAACAGCTTGTATGCCTTCTAGTACTTGCGACTGTACGGAATCCGTCGTTCTTTCTTTTCCCTCTTTTTCTGTGTATTTACATGGAACAGCGCAAAAAAGGTTGTTAAGAATAATAATAGTGTCGATAGAATCATAGTTGATGACGACAGTTTCTGTACACAAAAAAAGAGAAGAAACAAGAAGATCTATCTTGCTGTTTCACTCGTTTCTAACAGCTCTAACCCACCCACATTGTTTTTCTACGTCTAAGCGCATGGTATATATCAACTCCAAGGTTGGACCAAAACGGCCGGTGAAACGAAACAATCCATCGATTGATTCGCGAGACGACGAAGGAAAAAATACACTGTCATCGAGCGCACACACCCAAAAAAAAGAAAACGTTTCGACTAGAAAGAATGGAATGCATCATTCCTTGGATAGATGCTTCATTTGCAAAGAATATCATGCATGTAGAAAAGAAAACTCCGGGCTTACATGGGTGTCGTTATCGGACAGATTCCTTTGTTTTGTTGGGTGAAAATCATCTGCTAATGATTTTAATTCATATTGATAATCAAGTAATTTATCGGGAATCATTTCATCGAATAATCCGCACGTTCTTTCCCGTACATTCATATCTGGTGATAAATAGACGACTGATATCTTGCTCGCTCGCTCGCTCGTTTTTCTTTCTCACATATTAGATCGATGTCAGAACGATGATCAATAAAGGCACCTGAACTAGATAGAATGACTAAACAAGAAAGAGGAAGTTTATGTAATCCTATCAAAAGAAATCGATATTGTTCGACGTTATTTATAGATGTATGCACACGGCATGAGCGAATCAAACGAAAGAGAAAGAGAGTGAAAGAGCGCAGAGTATGGATATATTGATTAAACCTTGATGTCGAGAGAAAAAAGAGATGTGTGATAATTGATGGTAATAGAGAGTTTTATTTAAGCTAATTTATGTAGAAGAAAGTATTTGCACATCGTATGAACCATCGATCTAAATGGAATAGCGATGAAAATAGAATTTCTTTTTCTTTCGAATACATACATCGAAGCGTTTGACATGATCGGAACCATAATCCGACTGATGCATTTTAGCACAGATTGTCCACATTGCTTGAAGATGTTGCGAGAGTTCAGTGATCAGTGGTATTTTCTACAAAGAAAAAGAACAGAAAAAAAACTGACAGTTCCTATTCGGAGCAGCATAACATTGAGATTACTTACGATAAATGTCGTCTCTGTCATTTGATCATCATTGATCAAGGTACTAGCAAGTAAACGCTCAATTGATGGTTTGCGCTAGAAAGATAAATCAATCAAAGGTTATCCTCTTGATCTATCCACAATCGTGTCAATAAGGATGTAACAAATTAGCTTTGACTTCTTGTCTGCTTACATCTTTCGATAGACTTGACTGACTATGAATTTGAACATTCACAATTGAAAACTCTTTCCAGATGGGTGATGGTTGTTGAAGAAAGAAACGAATTTGGTATATAGCACGTGGCATAAAAGTAAACTGCAATGTATGAGAAAAACTTCCATTTATAGCGAAACATGTCGTAATCAATACCTGTTTTTGATCAAGAATCATATGTTTATTACTGCTGATTTCGCCATGGCATGATTCCATTAGCTGATATCGATTCAAAAGGACATGCCATTCATCTAAATGGTTCGATATTATTTTACTCGGATTAAAGTCTATTGAAGATTCGGCTTCAAATACTTAAATATTCAATTAACTTACCTTCCGAATGCTGTTTGATTTTGATTGACAAGAAAGCAGTGTATTCATTAACGAATTCAATGGATGTAAAGTTCTATTTCAAAGATGATAATGAGAATTTTCTTTAACATAAGACAAAATTGCTCCAACTTTAATCGGACTTTCATTACAAGTCCACGTAAACATTTTGCATCCTGAATGAAACGGTGCATTTGGCCGATCTTGTATTTGCAGAAGTGCTTGTTCTTTGAAATTGAGTTCTGTTGTCATTTCAAATTAATTTCTAACTACTCATTCTTTGGTATTCGAAAAAATTTCTCGTTTCTATAACAATCGAGTAGAGGAATCGAGCAGATGTCGCACAATTCATCTTATTGGCTCTCAGTTCGAACCAATAACTGGCTTACAAAAATGTATGAATGTATTAAGAAATTTACTAAATCGCTTTTTTATTTATTTCGACACCAATAGATAAATATCTATGTGGCTCTTCCAATTAGCGTCTTTGCTCGCTCTTCTGATTCCGCTAACAAATACCATCTTAGAAGATGATATTTTATACGATATTAAATGGCTGCCGGAAGTGACATCGGTAAGAAGAGATTCTTTCAAAATCGTATGAAATATCTCAATTTTTATGCTTATTTTCAAGCCGATTGAAGTGGATCACAGCTACACATTTACGTCTAAACGAAAAGAGAATTATCTATGTGTTTTGCCAAAGACTGAAACAATTGTTCAAGTAAAGTTTTATGAACACATCTCTCCATAATTTTAAAGTTCACTTTCAATAGACATCTACTGAAACCATTGCATTCTCAGAAGTCGTGGCTTTATTACAAAGTTTACATGCAAAGAAGTTATGCGCATATCGAGTAAGGGCAATTTGTCTCTCTCTCTTTCTTCATGTATTTTCATTGAATTTGTTCGATGAAATAATTCTAGTTAGACCCATATTGGACTTATGAGCTATGCCATGGTGTTCATATCCGACAATATCACGATACAAAAGTAGCTGGAAAAGTAAGAGAAAAATCCTATTTTGTTAAAATTGACCTGTTTCTCTTTTTCATTTTAGAAATCGATTTTGTTAGAATATTACCTAGGATATTATCATTCGGACAATCAGGATATAATCACTGATTCAGATGGAAGACAAGTATTACAAGTAGGATATTTAAAACAAGGGCCAGATGATATCGAGGAAAATGTATAACAACTTTATTTAGATACAGTATAAGAATATTGATAATAAGAAAACGCCATCATTAGCTGTTCGATATACAGATGGCACACCGTGTGATATTAAATCAAATCAACCACGCGAAACTGTCATATACTATGGTGAGTTGAACGCTTATGAAGAAGTTCAGAGAATGAAACAGTTTATGTTTGCTTTTTTTTTAAGTGTGTGATGAACGAGGTAATGATGTTATATTGAATTTCGAAGAAATCTCGACATGCTACTATGAAATGACGGTCGCATCACGATGGCTCTGTAAATTACCAGCGTTCAGGTAGTATCATTGTATGAAAAACAATATTTGATTATTGCTTTCTTTTTCGTTATCATTTTAGTCCTACGGAAGCCAATCGATACAATATCAACTGCTATGCCAAAGAGAATGCTCGTCAAAAGCCTCGAAGTTTGAAAAATCTTGAGGACGAACGACAAATGTCATTGAAAAAAGGCGGTCGTACACAATTCACGGTAAATAAATATGATTGTGCAATTCTCGATTGCGCAATAACAACCCATGACATATTTATACCTAGATGACAAGCGCGGATGGAACAACATTCATCATTGCATATCAATATGCGAACGATGGCGATCTCGATGAACCGACCGAAGCAGTCGCGCGTGAATTAACAAATAAAGCTGCTCAAATAAGTTCGACTGAACATTTTGTCGCGCCAAACGAACAACCTGTCCGACAAACACCGGCACAGCAGCAACAAGCACCAATGGGAAATCTAGGCAGTGATGTTGATCGTGAATTTCTTGAAGGTTTTTTATCTGGCCGGGAATGTTTGCCCGGTGGCACCGGTTGGTGGCGCTATGAAATCTGCTATGGTAAACATGTGATACAATTTCACGTAAGAAATTTCGAAATTTTGATCTGAAATACGAAATTTTATGTTTTTCTAGGAAGAAGGACAACATCGTACATCGATTTTACTTGGTACATGGAATCGGCAGAAACACATAGAATGGTTAAATAAAAACCCAAAGAAAAGACTTGCAGGAAATATTCGAGACCGACAGTAACCTTATCCTCATCTGGTGTAATTGTCTACTATTTGAAATCATTTAGATTTGTTTCACTATATTATACCGATGGTGATACATGTGACTTAACTAAGACTCGACGTGTTGTTGAAGTTAAATTACGGTAAAGAAACACACTCAACAAAAGGAACAAATAACTCTTTTTGTTTTAAATAGTTGTGCTAAACATATGGATAAATCTCATGCAACATCTATGTATCTAGTTGAACCGGAAACATGTTCTTATGTGATGGGAGTATGTATTTGCTAATTGTTGAATCAATTTTACACTTTTATTTGATGCATACTAGGTTGAATCATCATTATTTTGTAATTTAATTGATTATACAGATGAATACGGTATACCTGATCGCGAAAAATTGATTAAACGTTTTCAACAACAACAGCAACAACAACCGGAGCAATAAAACTTTCCTTCCTTGTTTTGTTCATGTTTCTCTTTCAAATTCGAGAATGTATATCGCGTCTATTTATTGTTTTTCTTTTCCAAAATGTGAGTTTTAAACAACTATTGATTGTATTTCTAGATAAAATAAACAGAGAAGAAAACAGATATGGAATCATTAAAAAGTTTTGTTCGGTACAGCTGCAATTCTTCGCCCAAAGTACGTTCAAATGTCATTAGTGATCTCATCGAAAGCATGAAAACCAATCAAATGGATGGTAAGTCGTGATTGAACCACTCAAATGAAATTCGCTTCTATTCTCAAATTAAACAAAGATCTTCCCGATCCGGCGTTAAAGATCTTAGCGCATACAATTGGTCAATTGATTCCGTTGTATACAACGACCAAATCACGCGTTCTTCTTGGTCAACTTTTGGATGAAGTTATCGTAAAATACAAAGAAAGAATAATCAAATTGATTGTCAATGCATTTGATGCACAATCTCGAACAATCTGCAAAGTGCATTCTCAGTATGTCGCGGTTTTTCTTTAGAGAAAAACTAATCACATAGGATTGTTCTAGTCGAAATGCACGGGTACAAGCTGATTACGGATTTCTATACATGTCAAGAATTACAATCGCAATTAAAGGATTAACAATCGATGAAGAAACAGATCAATTAATAGTAAGATTGTCAGAATATTCTCGTAAATAATGAATTTTATCTTTTTTTTGTAAGTTATTAATCTTTTCAAGATTTACTTCAACTTTATTAGCTGATTCATCGTTTTCAACAGCAATGAACTTGACTGATAAACGTCTGAAATATTTATTTCAACAGGTATCAGTAATACACCTAACAAATGAAGTTGAAGATATATACACGTTTACGTATGTTAGGTTCCAACATTACCCGAACGTTGGGTCACACAATTGAAATCGATCACTGAACTTGATCTAGCTCATCTGGGTTTGATCAGCGCACTGTTGTATCGATTTAAAACAAGTGAACCAACTCTATACGAGCAAGTCAAGGTAAATCAAGTCGATTGTTTTGAACGATCAGTACATATTCTTCTCTAGACGATTGGTATTGAATCCTATACGAAACTCATTCTTGGTACACGGACAAAACCGTATAATGCAGCACTGAAACCTTGCCAGGAAATTATTAGCTCCATCGACATCGAAACATTCAAGACAACTGTCTATCCAGTTTTGAATCGATCACTTCTTCGCAACCCTGAAATCATCATCGAAGGTAAACTCGTTTTCATCAATTCAATCTTCGTACTACTTGTTGCGTTTTCGTAGCTGTGCCAATGTTACTTAGTAACTTACAGTTTGATTTGAGCTATACGGCAATGGAACTCGCTAAACTTTTAGCTTGTAAGAACAGCTTTTGTTCTTTTATTTCACTCTTACTTGTATGTTTATTAGCACCGTTGGTATCGAAAGCTGAAAGTTTAGAGGCATCTGCATTAGCTTCATTTCGAACTCTTGGACGGCAAACTGTCAACGGTGAAACAACGCTCAATATGGTATACTATCTTTTCAATATCCTCAATGGTTTGTCGATATTTCGTCATTTTTGCTTATCAATACTTGTTTTCAATTAGGAACGGATTCATCTGTGAATAAACTTACGGTGATAAGTCAACGTGAAAATGTTCTCAATGCAATCGGTGCACTGAGCCGATCACCGAGTACCAATATTTCGCAGGAAGAGATTTTGAAATTAATTGAAAAGTATTTCTATCCAATGATTCAGCAAGAGGTACACGAAGGTCTTATTTGTCATATGTTACAACAAATGACACAGTGGTGTTCGAGATTAACAACTGTTAATCAAGCTTTGACAGACTTCTTTAAAGTAATTAGTTTCATCATCGAAAAAGTTCTACTAATGTTAACTTGTTCATTTTATAGAAAGGACTCGAACAAAAGACGAGCACAGCGATTACACGAACCGCATATCTTCAATGTATGCTAGTAGCATACAAAGGTATGATTTACGTTACGACTACTTCAACGAGCTGAGAGTTTGTTATGTTCTAGAAGATACACTAGCATCGTTAATCCCATTACATTCAACATTGATGGCATCGTACGAGCGCGGTCTTAATCAACCAACATTGATTATTTGTCTTCAAGAAGCTTTGTTAGCAGCATTACTTATGGTGAATATTGCTCAAATGAATTCGTCATATGGTACGAGAACAACATTGAATCAAGATGTTTAATATAACCATTTGATTTATTAGATAATAAATTAACATCGTTTTGGTCAACATTGAATGATAGTAAACGACAAATTTTTACAACGGACAAATTTCAACGAGAAATCAATGCAGCTGGTCAGTATCTTCAATTTGATTGATCATGAAAACGAACTCATCGACGATTTTCAGGTGCTCGTGCGTACTTTCAATTCTATGAACAGCTTCATGGAACATTACATATACAAGATATGGGGTATCATTTGCTAAATTGCTCTGTTCACCTTCTTACCAAGTCATAAAATGTTTAGGCCGTACACTCGAACATTTATTTACATCATTTTACATTCATCTTATGAAGTACGAAAATTCGCCTATGATATCATTCGTCGGCTGGTCAATAACTTGCGTTCTAGCGAAACTGATATCAGTCTAGCCCTGCTGAATGGATTGGATTCATATCTTGATCGTTTTCAAGCATCAGTAAATCAGTTTTTAGTTTAGAAAGAATCGTAAATGAAATAATTGCCTTCTATTTAGAATGAAACAACGACAACTAGTGACGAAACGAGCCAACAGACGAAATTAACAGCTGTATCGAAAGGTTTTGAAGAAACAGTCCTGTGCTTAGCAAAATCGATGAAAATGCAAGATGAACAACTGAAGTTTATACTCTGTGTTCGCACATTACTCATTTGTTGTCTCAGCGCTCAACTTCTGTCTACGGACAATAAACTGTGGCTGAAGTTTCTCTATTTAATCTTTGATAAACAACCAAAAGACATTCAGAACTTTTTACAAAATCATGCTGATGCATTGATACAAACCTGTACGTCAAATCAACGACTACAAAAGGTAAAGCATTATCTTTTGCTTGGGTTTTAGTTGTTAAAATCTTCTATTTCAGGGTCAAATATCGGCCATCGGTTTGCTATGTGCACTCAAACCTAATCTTTTCCTAAAACCATTCCTTCAACTCGCTTATCAACGTCTTGAAACTGATCGTTATCTGACAGTCAACCAAAAATCGTATGAAATCATGAAAACACCAACAGGACAACTGTATGATAAGAGCGTCATGGAAACGTATGTATCGAATTATTCTTGTGTTGATCTTCATAGTCGAATGAATTGTTTAGTATATTAAAACACGAAACGAAAGATACCGGAAATATTAAACGAGAAAGCAAAAACTATTCTTATAAAGAACAAATGGCAGCAAGAGAATTAGAAAAGGAATTGGCAGCCAAACAGAATAAGACTGATACACCTCAATTAACGAAAAAACAACAAGAAATGCTTCAACAACAACTCGATCTCGAACAAACTATTCGAGAAAATACCAAGAAAGTAAGACTTCATTTTATCCGTCTTGTCTAGTCTCGAACATGTTTTCATCTGTTATCAGATTGATGAAGACGCGAAGAATGTTTTCGAATTGCTTACAACGATTGTTGAAAGTACTCAAGAACAATTCATTCCTCATCTTGGCGAATTCGTCGTTCATATTTGGCCAGTTTTACAGTCACCATTGGCATTCAATTATGCCAAAGATGTCTATATCACTCTCGTCCCGATTGTTTTCATGAACGACAAAGATACATTCGGTTATGCCATTGCTAATTTAGCTATTCGATTGAATTGCAGTTCATCGAAAGCTAGCCAACAAGTGGAAAAACGATGGTTGCAGGAAGATCTCACAGTAGGGATCGAACGTTTGTTACAACGTTTATTGGAAAATACTCAACAAGCGAAACTATGTAATCAATTGTCGATTGCTCGGCTGGATTATTGTTTGCCTTTATTTAAAGTTTGTTACCGAAAATTTGTTAATTGATTTTCTCCCATTTTATATCACGTAGAACGTCGTCACACATCCGAAATGCAAAGATGAATGGGTTACATCGATACTTAACATTTGTCGAGAATACTTCTCTATCGTTTCAACCACTGACATCGACGTGAGTGCATAGCGATGGATAAGTTCTCGAATTTGTCTATTCATGCTTAGAATCATCCGTCGTTATTGCCACGTCGCGATCTCATTCGTTTATTTCTCGACATCAATGCTATATCAAAATCTGTTCAAGTTCAAGTAAGTGAATGCTTTGGATAATCATGGTATTATTTGATTGATATTTAGAACGATGCAACTGAATTACTTGAAAAATTGTGTGAATTGTGTTGCACTTATGAAAGTGATGATGATATTCAAGTTTTACTTGATAATCTTCGATCGTCAATTCCAAGTGTACGAGAAAGTTGCATTCTAGTAAGTTACTTTCTCATAAAAGTGTCACTCATGTCGTTCATATATTTCTGAATAGTCATTGAAAAAATTGGTCACCCAATTACGTTCTGCACATCCATCACTTCAAGCTGATATTGCACGACGACTATTAATTGCTTGTGAAGATTCCGAAGAACGAGTGAAAAATATTGCGATAGAGTACAATTAGAAATAAAACAACCGTTTTATCTAATAAGAACATTGCTCGTTTTATAGATTATGGCCCCAAGCGAAATTATCGGTCAAGGCTGAAGATGTCAAAGATTTTCTCAAAGATATTGTCCACCCAGATCCGGCAGTTCGTGAACCAGCAACGTGTGCTCTACCTAAACTATTAGAAACGACACACCGCCAATTAGTTCCGTTCATTCTCAATGATCTCTTCGAAATTTACACCAAAAATAATAAAGTTCGTTACAAACATTGAATAGATGATCTTGTATATAAGTGTCTTGTATGAATGTAGCTACCATTACCAGCATTCGATCAGTATGGACGACAACTTGAAGCT